CCTTTAGTAAAATTAAATTCACTCCTGATTTAATTTTAATCTGTCAGATTTCAAAGTCTAGAATAATATTTTCTGATTAATTTTTAACAAGGTTAGGTGAGATTGAAAAGACGTATGCTGATAGTTATCTGCACATCCATAAATTATTACATAAATTACCCATTGTGAAGCCCTCAATAATTTTGCCGAGAAATGCGAGTTGCTAACTTTTGTTATCTTTGCGTATTACCCTTGCCAAACCATTTGATTTTCCAGATGAAGTCAAAGAGATCTAATAAGTTTACTTTCATTACTTCTGTCAGACAAGTGAAAAAGCGATCCCCAATACATTGAATTCATCTTGTATGCAGTCCTGGACAGAGACACAAGAAGTGGTTGATAGATTCTACCTCCTTCTCATCTTGGTAACTCCTGCATAATCCACTTGACACCGTTGGAGCACAGGCACAACGGCACAGTGCCCCGTTAGTACTCCAGTAAATACACGAACTGCAGGTTTGTTGAAGCCCAAAAGACTTTTCGTTTTATTTTTGTCCAAACTAGGCCATAAGGTTCTAGCGGTTAGTCTTCACAGTCTTCGCGGTCAGTCCATAAATTATGAGTCACCGTATTGGTGAATTCCTCTATGATCCTAAACAGTTCGCAATTTAGTGTTTGTACAGAGTAGTCGGCCTCCCTTATATGCAATTCAAAGCGATACCACCACTACTCCACTGCATGTGTTATGTGTATCAAAACTTAGAAGATTCAAAATCATTGGACGCCTCTTTTTGCTAACCTTAGAGAACTGTAATCCTTTAATATAGGGGACATAGCCAAGTTTATAGAGATACGAACTTGATTCCCTTTGACTTGTATGATGGTAGTTGCGCATTTTTGAAAGGATGCTGTTCACTTTCTAGATACGTTGAATTCATAAAACTTTTATATTGAACTTTTTAGATAGAATTTTATTAGTTGTCTGTCCTTGTGTAAAAAATATAATCATACCTAAAGGTTTTTAGGAGCATCACGAACCAAAGCAAACATAAAACCAATGTGTCATATTATTTTGAATACATTTTTCAACCAAATTGATCATGTGATTATTGACTATATTAAAATATCTTTCATCCTTGATATTCGTAGCTGTAGAAGTGCGAATGTTGATAGCGATCATTTTCTAGTAAAAGTTAGAATAAGGCAAAGTCTAAAGGACGTACGTAATAATCACGGATCTACAAGAAAAAAGTGGGATGTTGACAAGTCACATCACAGTAAAGCGGCCCAGCAATATAAACAGAAAGTAAACGAAGCTCTTGAATGTATCCCGAACCATCCCAATATTAACGAACACTGGAAAACATTTGCAAATTCAATCAGTAATGCAGCAGAAGAACCCATTGGTGTAAAGAGAAATCGCAGATTCAATAATTGGTTCGATATGTCATGTGCTAAGACAAAGATAGAGAACTGTTAGCGGAAAAAAAGGACGTTATCAAAAGATGGTAAGAATATTTTCAAGAAGTCTTTAACGTCAGTATAAAAAGTGATTATCTATCATTCATAGGTTTAGCTAGAGGAATTTACAGAAGCCGTAGAGAAAATAAAACAGGAAAGCACCTGGAGAAAATAGTATATCCGCAAAGCTCATAAAAAGTTGCGCAAAAAGTGTCAAAATAGAGGCATTTACTTTACTCAAGCGTGTTTGGGCCGAAGAAAGCCTGCCGGGAGCGTGGCTCACTGGTGTAGTAGTCCCACTACTCAAGAAAGACGACAAACTAGATCGATATGATTGGAAAAGTGATGGTGCCAGGCAGTCTAACAAATGCTTTTAAAATTAAAAATGTAGTGAAACAAGGTGATTCGCTGTCAATCACCATTTTCATCCAAGTGCTTTAAGATGCTATTAAGTACCTTGTGACAAGAAACCTATTCAACAAAACATCACTGACTATTGCCTATACAGATGATATAGCGATCTTAAACAGGTCACTAATTATAGTAGTGACTTATAACACGAGCTAAGTTAGTAGAACTAAATATAGCAACAACAAAACTAAATACATGAGGGTTGGAAGAAACACGCATAGCCGAATCTTAAAGCTTATTCATTTGATGAATTCAGTTTTGAAGAAGTTGAAAGCACCAAATACATCGGTCTTCTCAATAATAGCAACAATAACATCAGCGTTTGTATCCGAGACAGAATTGTGTCAGAAGACAAAAGTTATTACGGACACGCGAAAATCTTTAAATCTAAAAGAAACGCCAAACTACACGCTTATAAGGCAATCGTCCGTCCGGTATTATTTAATTATTTCACGGGGCCGAAAATAGGACTTTAACGATGGCAAATGAAAATCAAATTACAGCTTTCGAAAGAAAAGTGATGTAAAAGATTTATATTCGTCAGTACACGACCGCAGAGCAACTGCAAATTTGTAACACTGACGATGCCGTAAACTTCGTAAAGTCACAGCGCTTCAGATGGATCAGACGCGTCATGAGAATGCCGGATGATAGACCACAAAAGCCAATATTTCATTTCACGCCGTACAACGACTACAGCAGAGGTAGAGCACGTATAAGATAACTCGATAAAGTAAATTATTTTGGGTATCCAAAATTAGAGGTTTAAAACAATATGCAAAACATAATAAAGAAAGCTGGTTGATAATTTGCAAGGCATTTGCTTACGCTGGAATTGATTTCTTGCAATTACCCAAAATAGGTATTCAACCTGGTCATATTGATTAATTGTAATTAATGTAATTATAAAATTGTTGTATTGCTTACATTGCAAGAATGCAATGATGAAAATTCTTCCGAAAATATAAAATATAATTAAAATAAGCAGACATAATCGCTTTTATTAATATTTTTAAGATTTGTAATAAATTAATAAAAGAGCTAAAAAGATTTATATGAGCTTAGGTAGCGCATGCTTAAAAATAATGAAAATAATGCTTACGACCCTGTTATTATTTTTGGTTAATAGTTTTCAAATTTATTTATTTCTTTATTAAACATATAAAATCTTTACAATTGTAAAACATAATTTACCTAATTTTTTTTTAATTTACCCTACTCGAAATTTTGGTATATTCGCTGCCATACCGACATAATTTACTATTTCCCTCAATTTACCACCAATTTACTTGAACTCGCACACGGCCTACGATAAAATCATAAACAAAAATGACAAATGTCAAAAACATCTTTTGATATTATTAAGGTGTGTTTAACACTTGCGCTGAGTATGTTCAATATTTAATTCTTACAAAATTTAAGGACGTGTGCGAGTTAGGCTAAGTTGATGCTAAACCAAATGGGAAGTTTTTTGGGATTTTTTGCACTGCACACATTTAACCATTTATCAACACTCATCGACTCATCACTACATTATAGGCACAACTTAAAATTTCCCTCATTTAGAATGCAATTAGGACGTGTGCGAGTTATATGCTGTTCAGACACACCTTAGTTTCGCAAAAATCTTAGTTTCATCTTCGTTTCAGCGAAACTAAGGTCGTGTGCGAGTTAGGCTAAGTTGATGCTAAACCAAATGGGAGATTATTTGGGATTTTTTGCACTGCACACATTTTGCCATTTATCAACACGTATCGACACATCATTACATTATCGACACAACTTAGAATTTCCCTCATTTAGTACGCAACTTAGCCTAACTCGCACACGACCTAAGTTGTTTTTTCCATACAAAACTTAGTTTCAATGTCAAAACGAAACTAAGGAAAATAGCCTTAATTTCGCTGAAACGAAGCATGAAACTAAGGGAATTTTCAAATGCAACTATGTTAAAAACAAATTTTAAGCAAAAGATAAAATTGAGATAACGAAAAAGTGACATGTATTTTTAAAAACAGCTGACTTTAATAAAACCGGGAAAATATTTTGAATAAAATTTAAACAGTTAAGCATTGGCGATGGAGAAGAAAAGTTATAAAAAAAGGTACGGTTGGACCCAAGCAGCAGAAAATGCACTTTTGGAGGTTTGGGAGTGCAATATGGAAGGCTTTCGTGGTGCACGCAAGAACGGGCATGTGCATAAAGAAATCAGCGATGCATTAAATCAACTCGGGTTTATGCTCAATCCCAAAGAAGTGCAAACGAAAATAAATAACATGACCTCAAAATTCAGGTATTTGGAATTAACGTAATGAAGATAATAATAATCAGGATGTTGGTTTTTATCAATATTTTTCAGCTCTTTTAACCATTGTGCAATAATGTGGTCGTTGTTTTCATTTAAAAAATTGTGCAGCACACAACAAGCACTCACAATAATATTTGCATTATTAATTCTATTGTCCAAACCCTTTCCTATTCGTCGAAATCGTGCTTTTAAGTGTCCAAATGCATTTTCAACAACCCTTCTACATTTCGAAAGTTTCTAGTTAATATTTTTTTTACAAGCGGCATATCAACATTAAATTCCATATGTAAACAAAAAACATATGATTTCCTTAATTTGGGCAGTATGAACACTTTCGAAACTAACTTAGTTTCATTTTTCCGAAACTAAGGAAATTTGGCTGTCTGAACATAGCATTAGGCTAAGTTGCATTCTAAATGAGGGAAATTCTAAGTTGTGCCGAGAATGTAGTGATGTGTCGATGCGTGTTGATAAATGGCTAAATGTGTGCAGTGAAAAACATACCAAAAAATCTCCCATTTGGTTTAGCATCAACTTAGTCTAACTCCCACACGTCCTAAATAGGAGCCTGTGTTTTATTGGCAATATATCTATTATTGCTATAAATCTGCAATGATTACGTGGCATTTATTGCCACTTGTATATTAATAAATGCCATTTATTAGAATATATGGTATTACTGGAAATTATATAACAATTAATAGTGCAGTTTTATATGCATTGTTAAATTATATGCATGTTTATTTTTGGTTTGACAATCAAGACTGTTTGTAGACCTTTAAGTATTAGATAAGGCAGTTTTTCTATCCATTCAGAAATATACATTCTGTCAAATTATTTTAATGACATATTAAGAAACAGAAACAAAAAGTCATCGTTCATCAGCGGCGTTTTGCACACAAATTGAGGAGCTATATAAACGCTTTGAGAGTATAAAGTTATAAAGTTTGTGTTGTAAATTAAACAAAAAATCGCTTAAACATGTCGATAATGAGCTATAATGGTGGCTGCGTAGTAGCGATGCGTGGAAAAGATTGTGTAGCAATAGCCACAGATCTTCGTTTTGGTGTACAAGCTCAAACAGTGGCGACGAACTTTGAAAAAGTTTTCCGTGTTGGTCCTCGCATGCTTCTTGGCTTGGTAGGACTTCAGACCGATATTTTAACCGTGCGGGAGCGCGTAATGTTCCGTAAAAATTTATATGAAATGCGTGAAAACCGTGAAATATCAGCAGAAGTCTTTTCAGCAATGCTATCAAATTTTTTGTATGAACATCGCTTCGGGCCATATTTTATTGAACCTGTTGTCGCAGGGCTTGATGCAAAAACTCATGAACCATATATATGCAATATGGACTTAATTGGTTGCCCAAATCTGCCAAGGGATTTTGTTGTGTCAGGTACTTGCAGTGAACAGTTGTATGGTATGTGTGAGACATTATGGAAACCTGATTTAGATGCAAATCAGCTTTTTGAAGTTATTTCTCAAGCAATGGTAAATGCTTTTGATCGTGATGCAATAAGCGGTTGGGGTGCCACTGTCTACATTTTGGAAAAGGATAAGATCACTACAAAACATCTCAAAACACGTATGGATTAAATAAATAATTCAAAAATTATATACGATTTGAATAAAAATATTGTCGTCTATTACACTTTCTATAAAAAAGTTTTTTTTTAATATTTGGGTTTATGTTAAAATATGTATTTAAATAATAAACAAACATTAAACATACAAAAATTTTTATTAATTAAATCTGATAAAGTATTTTACTAAGTTGCTATTTTAGTCCTTCCATTGAATACTTTTTATTGCCATTTGTAAAGCAGATTCCTTTGTTTTGGCACCTCCAATAAAACCGGTGTGATGCACAAACACTAAGTCAGAGACTCCAGCAATTGATGATAAATCATCATTGTTTAAACCTCGCCAAGGTATAGGTAAAAACTTACGGCCCAAAAAACTTCTTGGCGAAATTGGTACTCCAGCTATTCTCCAACTTTGTTCATTTTCCGAAAAAATAACTAATTTCGGCACACCTACTAAGTTATATTCAATTTCTAGATTCGCCAAATGAACTTTCCAAGGACAAAAACGTTTCAGTAAGAGTATTTCACCACTCTCATGCACTTTAGTTGCTGACAGTAATGCTTCACGTACATATTCTCTAGCATTTATCCAAGATTTTCCAATATTTATTACGTTTTCCACAAATTCTTTGCCAGCAACATCCATTGCTTTGAAAAATTTTTCATCAATATTTTGCTTATCCTCGTCCCACGAAGGATTCAAACGACTGATACGTGAGGAGAGGCTAGTAGATATATCATACTTAGGTTCCACTCCATCATCAAACATTGGCACACCATTATCAATAGCGTCAATTTCTAAAATAAAGTTCTTATATATTTGCTTAAATACAAGCTGTAGGTTATTTTTTGAAAGATTTATATCAGCATGGTGTCGTAGTATTTCATCAATGATCCGTTCTCCGTAGAATGTATAAACTAATCCAGCACTGGAGAGTCTAAAATATACAGGTATTTATATTTATTATTCACATAATAAGGCATATTTTGTAATACCTAATCTTAAATTCGTTTCCAAGTTCAGGACGTAAAGAGCTCAATGTTTCTTGAAAGGTCTTTTGATGATGATCATACCATTTACGACTATTATCGAACTCACCGCCGACATCAATAATTATATCACATTTATTTCTTAATAGCTCAATGTCTCGACTTCGTAAAATCTTTGCGTTTTTGTATTCTGGCAATTGACGCAACATAAAACAACCTACAACCTCATCACAGTGAAAAGTCCCATTGTGTGTGCCAATATATACTTCAGCGTCGTTATCGGTTTTGATTCTCTTCGACTCATCAGCCATGATTATTGCCGATTGATAAAAATTTCTTACAAAGAATGTTTTAAATCCTATATTCAAATTATTGTAATCGTTAATATTTATAATTTAGTACAAATAATCAAACAAATTATGTTGTTTTTATACTTTTACAATGTTGGAAAATTGTTTTACCGCCTAAAGATATCATGTGCGTTGGTTAGTGTTGTTCAATTTTAATACTCGTTACTAAACTTAAAACGATTTAAAAGCAGAATTACTTCCTGTATTGTACTTTCTTTTATGTTCTTGTTATGCTTTTTGTTTTTATTTATTTAAAGTTTTTAATTTTATAAAAGCTAATTATTAATTTTATCATTTTAATTTCACAATATTTCTTTTATTATTTTATTGTAATTCGACGAGTTTGATGCTTTTCAGACTTAAAGTCGATTTCTTATGCATTTCGAAAGAATGTAACAATTTTAAAGCATTTTTTAAATTTATTCTAATTTATTAAATTAGAAAATAAATTATTATTGAAATCTAAATGAATTTCTTATTGAATTTATAAAGACTCAATAGAGTGATAAAGTATTAATTTTGTTTTTGTAAAATTACAATGTTACCAAGTAATCGAATTACTGTAGCATCATTGATAGAAATAAAAAGAGTTCTACATCAATTCTTAATTTTTTTTTTCAATTGTTTTGTAATTTTTTTACTTTTACATAAAACAAAACAAATAAAAAAATCAGCTGCTTTGGCAGTTTCATTTCAAGCTTTTCCGAGAAAGAAATAAAAAACAGCGTTCCGACTCTTGTAATTTATTTTTTGCCAAATTTTGAATTATACGCTGTTCAGACACACCTTAATTTCGCAAAAATCTTAGGACGTGTGCGAGTTAGACTAAGGACGTGTCCGAGTTAGGCTAAGTTGATGCTAAACCAAATGGAAGATTTTTTGGATTTTTTGCACTGCACACATTTTGCCATTTATCAACACGTATCGACACATCACTACATTATCGGCTCAACTTAGAATTTCCCTCATTTAGAACGCAACTTAGGACGTGTGCGAGTTAGGCTAAGTTGCGTTCTATATTTGCTTAGTCCAGATTATCTATTAAGGCGTGCAAATCTTATATATATGTGCTATAAATAATATAGGATAAAATTAGTTAAAGAATATCTTAAATTACTATTTAAAATGCATTAACCGCTCATTTCTAATATATCAATTACAAAATTAAGAAATATATATAACTTAAAAAAAACTTTTTGTCCGTTTCACAATTTTTTTATTTTTTTCAATAAGGGCTCCTAACATTGTGGAAATCCGAGAAGTTCAAAACCTACTACGCATTCTGTCACGGTTTCTTGTTTTAATGGAAATTGTAGTATATTCGATCATGGCAACCCTGTATAAAGAAATAGATAAAAAAGGAAAAATACAAAATGCGTTGTTGTTTCGTCGTTGTGCTCAAAGGAGTAAGCGTGCCGTACCGTGATTATTAGAATTATTAATATTAAATTTTAAATCTATATAACTTTAATCAATAAAGTATATTGTATTATATATAAAGAATATAATAAAATTTGGCGACGAGGATAAAACATTAAAGGATGGCGAAGAATTTTGGTGAAAAAGAGGACGAATCAATTACCGAATATTTGGCAGCGCTAAGGAAATTGAGCCAAGACTGCAATTTCAATGATTTGGAGGAATTGTTACGAGACAGACTAGTCTGTGGCATGCGCGATGAGAATTTACAAAAGCGGCTTCTGGCGAATGACCAGTTAACACTAAAAATAGCGCAGGAGGAAGCTATAGCATCAGAAACAGCACAAAAAAATGTGACGGAACTTAAAACGTCAGCCAGCCTGCCAGGGTTGAAAAAAGTTTCAAGCAACAAGGTAAAACCAAATCGTGCTCCAGTGGACCATATTCAGAATTGTTATCGTTGTTGAGGAAATCATCATTCAGATCAGTGCAAATTTAAAGACGCGGAATGTTATTATTGCAAAAAGCGTGGACATATTGAGAGAGCTTGCATAAAAAAAGCAAAAACCAAAAAGCCAGCAACAAATAATGGGAGAAGACCAAACAGAGTAAATCTTTTAGATACAAACCAGGAAACTCAAACGACGGAGTATTTATGGTCAATGTTCGCTAAAGGTAGTCCATCGGTCAAGAGAGTGATTACGATAAGTAAGTCACCGGTACAAATGGAAATAGACTCGGGGGCAAGTTACTCAATAGTAAGTGAAAAGTTATTTAGAGAAAAAATGCCGTATATTCCGCTAAAACCAAGTCAAATACAATTAAGAACTTGGGGAACAGAGAAAAATCTTAAACTGAGTGGAGAAGCAGAAGTACCAGTCTCGGTTGGGAACGTCACAAAGAAACTAAAGTTGTTAGTAGCAGCGGGTGATGGTCCGGCTCTAATTGGTCGAAATTGGTTTAACGATTTGGGAATTACTATAACTAGCAATTTATGCAATATAGAATCAACTATTCCAGTAGAAGTGATGAACTTCAATTCAGTTTTTGATGGAAATCTTGGAGATTACAAAGGAAATCCTGTGAAGTTACAAATGTCAGTTGTAAACCGAAATTTCTTCGATATCGACAAGTGCCTTTTGCACTAAAACTCAAGGTGGAAGCAGCATTAAAGAAGTTGGAAGATGAAGGCGCACTGCGTTCAACATCCTTTAGTGAGTGGGCAACACCGGTTGTACCTATTATTAAACCAGATGGTAGCATACGCATTTGTGGTGATTATAAGTGCACAGTGAATCAAAAAAAAAAAAAATGTCTAAAAAATCAAAATGTGTTTTCACGGTACAAGAGATAACATTTTTGGGGTTTAAGATAAGCCGAGAAGGAGTGCGTCCAACTGACGAAAAGGTGAAGGCAATAGCTCAAGCACCAGAACCAATAAATAAACAACAGCTACAAGCTTTTCTTGGGTTAATTACATTTTATGATAGATTTTTACAAAATAAGGGCGATCTATTGGAACCGCTGCATCAACTATTACGAAAAGAGATACCTTTTAAATGGGGTAAAGAACAGAAATTAAGTTTTGAACGAGCAAAGAAGCTACTACAATCAAAAAATCTGTTGGTGCATTATTCGACTGACTTACCACTGATATTATGCGGAGACGCGTCGCCGTATGGAGTTGGCGTCGTTTTGGCACACAAGATGCCGGATGATAGAGAAGCACCGATTGCTTTTGGCTCCAGAACATTACAAGGAGCGGAACGAAATTATCCACAGTTGGATAAAGAAGCGCTAGCGATTGTGTTTGGTGTGTAAAAGTTTAATCAATTTTTAAGTGGTAGACAATTTACAATAATAACTGATCATAAACCACTAGTGGGATTATTCAATCCAGATAAACCAATATCAAAACATATATCACCCATTATGTTAAGGTGGTTGTTAAAGTTAGGCGCTTACCAGTACGTGATTAAATTCCGAGAAGGGAAACATCACCAGAATGCAGATGCATTGAACCGGTTACCTTTAAATGATGTAAAGCTACAAATACCGGAAATACCTGAAATATTATATTGCAATGAAGCTGAGGAACAGTTTTTAATCACTGCGAAAGACATTGCACAAGCAACCAGAAGAGATCCAGTACTATCAAAAGTAATGTGGCATATCCAAAGGAAAGATACAGTTTTGCCATATAAATCAATCCAGTTTAAACCGTTTGTAAATAAAATCCAGGAACTATCAGTGAATGCACAATGTTTGTTATGGGGAGCCAGGGTAATAATACCTGCAATACTACGTCCCAGAATACTTGAGATGTTGCACGAAGTTCATCAAGGCATGTCAGCAATAAAAGCAGTGGCGCGAAGCTATTTTTGGTGGCCTGGTTTAGATGAAGATATAGAAATGTTAGCCAGACGTTGTGAAAAGTGTGCATGTAACAAACATAGATGGTGTGATTATTTATTTAGACGACATTCTAATTGGCGGAACAACTTTGGAAGAGTTGTGGGATAGAAAAGTTTCATCAATTTTTAAGTGGTAGACAATTTACAATAATGACTGATCATAAACCACTAGTGGGATTATTCAACCCAGAAAAACCAATATCACAGCATATATCACCCAGAATGTTAAGGTGGTCGTTAAAGTTAGGCGCTTACCAGTACGAGATTAAATTCCGAGAAGGGAAACATCACCAGAATGCAGATGCATTGAGCCGGTTACCTTTAAATGATGTAAAGCTAGAAATACCGGAAATACCTGAAATATTATATTGCAATGAGGCTGAGAAACAGTTTTTAATCACTGCAAAAGACATTACACAAGCAACCAGAAGAGATCCAGTACTATCAAAAGTAATGTGGCATATCCAAAGGAAAGATACAGTTTTGCCATATAAATCAATCCAGTTTAAACCGTTTGTAAATAAAATCCAGGAACTATCAGTGAATGTACAATGTTTGTTATGGGGAGCCAGGGTAATAATACCTGCAATACTACGTCCCAGAATACTTGAGATGTTGCACGAAGTTCATCAAAGTATGTCGGCAATGAAAGCAGTTACGCGAAGCTATTTTTGGTGGCCTGGTTTAGATGAAGATATAGAAATGTTAGCCAGACGTTGTGAAAAGTGTGCATGTAACAAAAAGAATCCTCCAGTAGCGACAGGTGAACCATGGCCAGCAACGCTAAGGCCATGGTCCCGGTTACATATTGATTATGCGGGACCCTTTATGGGTACAAATTTTTTTATCGTCGTAGATGCTCATAGCAAGTGGGTAGAGGTAAAAATAACCAGTACAATAAATGCGATTAGAACAATCGAGTTAATGAGAGAAATATTTGCAACACACGGAATACCAGATACCATTGTGTCCGATAATGGGCGAACGTTTGTGTCAGAAGAATTTGAGAAATATTTAAAACTTAGCGGTATAAAGCACATACGTACGGCACCGTATCATCCATCGTCAAACGGGCAAGCAGAAAGGTTTTAAGAATCACCTTAAGAAAATGCAGTCTTCAGACATCAATAAGAATTTGGCAAATATACTTTTGCATCTGCGTACAACTCCTAATGCAAATTCAAATTCGAGTCCAGCAGAAATCTTGATGGGAAGGAAGTTGAAAACATTGTTAGATCTTTTGCACCCCAGTGATGACAACACTCAGAAGCAGCTAAATTCTGATGAGTATTCCAAACAAATAAAACCAGTTCGCAGTTTCCAGTGTGGTGAAATGTTTGGTACCGAAATTTTGGAAGAGGTGAAAAGTGGATGCCAGGGATTATACAATCAACAGGAGATCGCAACTACAAAATTCAATCAAATAGTAACATATTGTCGAGACATATTGACCAGTTGCATAAGCGAGTTTCGGAGACACCGACAAGTTTAGAATCCAATATAACTCCAGTAGCGGTAACTTCAGTGGCACAACCGGAAGAGCAAGACGACCAAATAAGTGCAGGTCATTCATCAAATGAATATATCCTACCAGATAGTCAAGTAGAGGGGTCATTTGAAGAGAAAGATAAAAGAGATGAAACATTAAAATCGCGACCGTACCGGCAGAGGCAACCGCCAAAAAGGTTAAGGGACTATTTGATGGGGGAGGAACTGTAATATATTCGATCATGGCAACCCTGTATAAAGAAATAGATAAAAAAGGAAAAATACAAAATGCGTTGTTGCTTCGTCGTTGTGCTCAAAGGAGTAAGCGTGCCGTGCCGTGATTATTAGAATTATTAATATTAAATTGTAAATTTATATAACTTTAATCAATAAAGTATATTGTATTATATATAAAGAATATAATAGAAATCTTTTTAAATATATAGTTGACATTACTTCCCATACCATTCTGCAAATCTCCAATACAATTGTGCATACTGTGGATTTGCCAACGGCAAATAATTCACACACTACCCTCCCTATATTCCCCTTAAGATCCTAACGCACATAAAACAATTGCGATTCTTTTGTCAAGAGGAAGCGCTTTACGCCAATTAGCGTCCTTTTTTTTGTAAAGATTTTAACAACTCACACAGATTTGAAAAACTTTTTCGAGTTACATGAAAATGTGTTTTAAAAACACCTTCCGTGTAACACTACATGTTCCAAAATGCTGATTGCCGGTTTTATAAAAAAATTAAGGTCGTGTGCGAGTTAGGCTAAGTTGCATTCTAAATTAGGGAAATTCTAAGTTGTGTCGATAATGTATTGATGTGTCGATACGTGTTGATAAATGGCAAAATGTGTGCAGTGCAAAAAATCCCAAAAAATCTCCCATTTGGTTTAGCATCAACTTAGCCTAACTCGCACACGTCCTAAATATCATAATTTCAATGTACGATGATATGTTTACAAATATCCAAAATGGTTTTGGTACAGATGACGTTGTTCCAAATAATATAGCTTTATAGCCTTAGGCGCTACTTATTATTTTTGCAGTAGCTTGACGATGGCAAATGTTTTGAAAATCATATTTTAATAAGATTTCCTTATTAATATTCATTTTTTTCTGTATTACATTTTTTATTTATTTCTATTTTATTTCAAAAATCAAGTTTTTTAATTTCAATATTAAATTTTTAAATATCCCAAATACAAATAGTGTTTTGAGCATGTGATTCCATTTGTAAACAAAACACATGATTTCCTTAATTTGGGGCAGTATAAACACTTTCGAAACTAACTTAACTTCATTTTTCTGAAATTAAGGAAATTTGGTTTTCTGAACATAGCATTACCGACTTCAACTTATCTTATATAAATAAGCAAATTTGCTGTAGAAATGTATAAGTAATAACACGTTAACTTTTAAATTTAATGAATAATAACTTAACTCTACACGCTTATGTAGATGAGGTAAAGTATAATAGTTTAAACATACCATAAATTTTTTGAGATTGGTGTCTGCTGATAGGTGGCACTTAAAACTATTGGTCAGGTGATAACTCAATATTTAAAACTGATATTTCTTAATAAAATTGATGTGAAGCTGCTTTTAATACGCTAAAAATGTTTAAATTTTAAAACCAAATTATATTGAGGGTATTTATACAATTTTAAAATCGATTTTAAAAGCGTTAACAATTTTTAAGCGGCGGCAGTGTTAAAGGTCACCGCGTACTAATTTATCAGTAAAAAATGTGTAGTAACAATAAATGCTTTTAATCCGCAAAGGAGCTTATATAAATACGTAGTAATTGTACAGCGGATAATTGATTACTAGAGCAGTAAAGAATATTATCTCAATTATTCCAAACATTGTAGTTTTTTTCGCGATTCCTCTGTACCATATGATTTAGGTAAATAAATTTGTTTCTTCACTTTTGACGTTTATGGTAAATGACTTGATATTAAGCGAAGACAATGGACCTGTGCAGGCTATGTGTTAAAGCCGTTGATCCTTTTATAACTAAATCAGTATTTGACACAAACTGTCAGGAGCAACTGCAGCATATTGAAATTGTTATTGGAGAGACGGTATAAAAATTTATTTACTACAATATTAAAAATTTTAATGTTATTGTTTTCTGTGCTTTAGTTAAAAAATGATTTGAATTTACCTATATTTCTATGCGAAGAATGTGAGCTGTCATTGGAACAAGCATACAAATTTAGAGAGACATGCATTAAAAATCAAATATATTTTAATTCTGAAGATTATTTAAGCAGACTGGAATTTCAAACCCAAAACAATGATAAAGATTTAATATTTGCTAATTATGATAACACATTTGAGGAGGCTGAAGAAGGGGCAAATTATTTAGACACATTTGCGCAGAATGTTGATGATGAAGTATTATATAATATCTACGACGGTAAAGAATTGGAAGTTTTCGACAGCGAATATAATGAGCATACCTCTGATTCTATTTACCTAGAGGAGTTTATCAGTGATCAAGAAGGGAAATATACAGATGTACAAGAAAAACCTTTAAAAATAAGTAAACAAATTAATATAAATCAAAAGGCTAATTATATCTGTGAGCACTGTGGGCACCTCTTTGTATCGCGTAATCAATGTTTAACACATCTAAGGCGACATACTGGCGATAAACCTTTTATGTGCAAGTAATATTGTTATATATATGATTTAAAGTTTTTGTTGTAACACAATTTATTACAGATTCTGCGTGAAGAAGTTTGTTACAAAGAATGAATTAAATCGACACTTGCGAACGCATACGGGTGAGCGTCCTTATACTTGTCAGTATTGTGATCGAAGTTATCCTGATGCTTCGAAAAGATTAAAACATGAACGGTAATTTTAAATAAGTAGTATTAAAAAAGTTTTTAATATAATGTTATGTTGCAGTGCGCACAGAAATGATAGAAAATTTTCTTGCCCACATTGCGACAAGGCATTTACATCATCGAGCATCTTGAAGAGTCATTTGTTAACGCATACGAACGAGCGATTATATAAGTATGTACATTATAGTTCTCCCTTTAAAAAATTCATATTTTGCAAATTCATATTTTTTTTTTACATTTATATATTTAATTTTATATTATATATAGTTACTATATATATCTAAAAAATAATTTAAATGTAAAAATTTTCTGCTTTATCTTTATAGATGTGAGTTATGTCAGAAATCATTCCAACGGCGTGCACATTTACTTACACATTATCATTCAAGAAGCCACAAAGTGAGAGAGCAAAATCAGAAATCATAATACAAGACTATGTAGTGAAATTAATGACAAGATTCAGATCTACAGCTATTATATTTAAAAGCTATTTACCACTCTTTAGACTAGTCAAGAATTCATCATATAAGTGGATTTTCTAAGTGCTACAAGAAAAACAGAAAATGGTCTCATATATATGTATATAAACTCTTTTTATTTTGATTAAAATTTATTTTTTTTTGTATTAAATTATTTTTTATTTTGTTGAAAATTTATTTTCTTTGTGTATAAATTTAATTATGTTTTGTTTATAATCAATTTTTAATACTCAATAAAAAATATTGCTAAAAGCAACGAATTTTAGATAATCAACGAAGGTTTTAAGATTTACTAGTGGGATTTTCGAGATAATTGTAACAAACTAACAAAAGATTTCTGCATACAATTATAACTGTTAAACATTTATATGCTTTGATATGGGTGGTAATTTGTCTCAAAGAAAGAAGTTTTATTTATACCTTATGAAAAGGACGCATTATGGATTTTTTTCCTTTATTAAAAAAAAAGGTACAAATTATAATGAAAAATTCGAAATAAATCTACCAAGGATCTAACTGCGAAACTCCTTAGTGAAAGTTTTAATCATTGTACAACTAGACTTCTGTTTAGTTATGTAACTACATAATAGTTATAGTTATTATTATGCGAGCGTTTATTTACTCGCAATTAATTCGTTTCTTTGCTATTTGCATTTTATTCATTACGTGATACGTAAAGTACTTTCAAACATTGGTTAGTTGACATAACCCGTTTTATTAAGAAAAGCCTGAATGAACAACAACAAACTACGTACTTAAAAAGAGCTGAAGCCTGTGGAGTCACATGCCTTAAAATCTATTTTGAAACAGATATAAATTTTCATTTTCTTAATTGTGATACTACTTTTAAGGTACTTACGCAATGTTTAAAAGCGATGTTTCTTACTAAAATTGATGTTAAATCTAAACTGCTTTGATCAACTAAAAATAAACTAAAAGTGATTTTAAGAAAAATTCATTTTAATGATGTTTACGCAAACTTAAACTCAATTTTAAGAGCCATTAAACAACTTTCACGACTCCGTAGCGGGGTAACTGTCCTTTTTTTGGTGAAATTCATTACTGTGCTATATCAGGAAGAAAAATATATTTTATCGTATTTTTAATTTATTCGCATTTCCGCACATTGAAACAATAAACAATTTGTGTGGGGAACAAAAGCATATGCTGTAATGGTCTAGCGAGGCAAACATAAAGATTGCTTGCTCAACTGCAAACCTATTTTACGCATGGTGCATGCTGTTTATTGCAATCGAGGATATCCCAACCAAGCGCAGTTGATGTAACCTAAATAACAGGTTCGTTTCTCAACTACTTAACAACAAATCAATCTCGAGGTTTGCAAATAGAAGATCTGGCCGTTCAAGTTGACTCTTGTAAAATCATTTAAGTTGACTCTTGACTCGGTAAAATCATTTAGATACGCTATCTTCAAGCGTACCTCGGAATAGACGGATTTTTGGAAAATTGTAGCAGAATATAAATTTGATTTCACAGTACCCAGTACTCTGACTCAATATTTAGTGTGCTACACTCATTTGAAAAGAAATACGAACATAACATAACATTATAGATAAATTTTATAGATAAAGATTCTTTAATGCTTTGGATTTGGTAGGTGCTCTTCAAAATCTTATTGATGAAATTCCTATAATTCTTGAACACTCTTTAGGAAGAGTTATTTTAAAAAGACGAATCAAACTCAAAACTATAATTCACTCTAGAAATATAATGTAATTACTAAGTCGAACCTGCTATAAGCATTCGAAGATAATTTTGCATTAGTGACGCGGATTATATAAAAGCTTAAATATGTTGATATTTATGATAATTAGTTTAAAAATAAACGGATGTAAGACGAAATATCTCAACCTAACGAGAAAACATAAATGGTCTAATATGGAAAGGTTATCAGTTGGTAGATACAGCTTTAATTAACAAAGACAATAATAGTGTGGTCGGACTAATTGACAAACTTTGCAAATAGTTGTGTCCCTTCTCAAAAGGATTAGCTTTACAGCAGACATTTCAAGGAACACTGTATTGGAAATCGGCTACTAAAACATGAATGCTATGTCAACATTAAATTTAGGTAGGCTACTGCCTCGTGGTAGCATCAAAAACATAGAAATAGCATGCATGCAGCTCGATATAGCTGTAGTAGCTAGAAATGTTAAAAATGAAGTTGAGTAAATGCATTTCTGTAATATTGCACACGATTAAGCTACAGTCATTGGCTATGTGTTTCGTAGAGTCGAACTACAGTGAGAGTAGACAGTTTCTATAACCAAAATGATTGTAGTCTATGGTAACTCCACATTTTAATGTTTTTGTTATGTTCACAGAAACTATTATTTACATTTTATAATAATAATTGTTATTATTATTGTTGTTGTTGTTAAAATTGTAATCGCATTGTAAAATACTGTAATTATTAAATAATAAAAAATCTTTTAGATACCCCTGAAGATGTTGGAAAAAACCAACGAAATGTCGGGTTAAAAAAAATGAAGTAAATTAATTTTTTATTTGCATCCCAGTCACAAGACCAGAGTAGCCTTAATAAAAAATATAATTTAATAATTATTCATATTATAATATATATATTGTATATTATTATGTATATATTATATATTATTATATATATTTTATATATTATTATATATGTAATATAATAATTTTAATTTAAATAATATAATGTCACAAAATCTATATATAATCGTAAAAGAAAAGTTCTTAGAATGAAGAAAATTTTAATATATTATAATTTATTTTTATATAAGCGAATTTTTGGGTGATTACACCCACTGAATTAAATGTTGTTAAATTTTCATCAACTTTGGACTTTGGAAATAATTAAAGGTTTAGAATCCGTACATAAATCCGTTAATAATATGTATGTTAATATTTAAAATTTTATTTTTTTGGTTTTTGTGCGGAGAGAAAGTTTAAAAATGCCTGATGCATCGTCATTATGTCGTCATAATAGTAGTATGCTAGATTTCCATGGACTGAAAACAATCTCACCTTGTGTGCCAGATCGTTTCTACTCTGTAATTTTATCGTAAATATTTCAAGGAAAGATCCCTATGTAGGTTATGCATTGATAATTTTCTTCGCTTAAGTTTATTTGTTTTCCTATTTCTATTAATTATTATTTTTTGAGATCATATTCCTTCAACTTGTTTGCCATCGTAACGAACGTTATTATATATCATTCCGTATATATATACGGAATAATATTACCGTATTGAAATTTATTCAATATACTGTATTCGCAACATTGCCATTACTGTAAAACGAGAATAATTTTATTTGAACGAACCCCACTGTAAACATATGACTGACTTTTGTTTTGTGTATATTTAATTCAAACAGTTCCAGCATTGTAAATACAATTGTTTGATTTTTAATTTTATAAATATCAATATAGAATGAATTTATGTCGATTATGTTTAAAACTTATTGACCCAATGGTTAGTCAAGCTCTTTTTGATTCTGCTTTTAAGTCTGAACTGCAGCAATTGCAAATCTTAATTGGCACAATGGTAAGATTATATATAAACAAATTCCTATCAACTTTTAATGTTTTTGAATTGGAATTATTTTTAGATTGAAAATAATGTCTATTTGCCACAGCACATATGTGAACATTGTGAACAGAACTTAAAGCGAACGTGTAAATTTTCGGAGTGTTGTATTGAGTCTCAACAATATTTCCAAACTCGAAATTACAAAAAAAAAATGCAATATATAAAAAAATTCAAAGAAGAATTTGAAAGCGAAGAATCGTTAACATATACCAGTGTGCAAGAATTGATAAATGAAAATTTAGATACTAACGACATAATTTTAACCATTCAACCTAAAGAAGATATAGATGAAATTGCTAAATCGGGCGATATTAGTGAGGATATTGTGGATAATGAATTTATAATTTCATATCCAGATGTTGAAGTGCATGAAAATGCAGATAATTTAAAAACTGACGATGAGGCATCCGCAAATAAGTTTGTTATAACCAAGGATGAAGACAAGACTTTCAGTAAGAAATATAGCAAACGTGAAAAAACTAATTTTATTTGTGATCAATGTGGAAACAATTTCTCAAGTCGCAATCACTTTTTAATTCACTTAAAACGACATTCCGGAGATAAACCTTTCCAATGCGAGTATGCTGTCTTACATATTATTAGTTTATATTTTTCATTTATAGATATTTTTGATGTATATATATTTAGACTTTGTCCTGACAAATTTTTTACGCACACAGAACTAAAGAGACATATGCGTAAGCACACTGGTGAACGTCCTTTTGCATGCAAATATTGCGATAGAAGATTTAGTGATTATTCAACAAGAGTCAAGCATGAAAGGTTGTGCTTTTTATTTAATATAGTCAAGTATTGTACTTATTAATAATACAATATTACAGAACACATACGAACGAGCGCCCGTTTTCTTGTACTCAATGTGGGAAGTCATTTACAACATCATATATATTAAAAAACCACATGCTAACACATACTGGAGAACGTTCGTTCAAGTAAGGAACAATAAAATTTATATTAAATCAATTCTAATTTTCTTAATCCTTATTATAGCAAAACTTATTTATTTTTCAGATGTACGCTATGTAGTAAATCATTTCAGAGACAAACGCACTTAGTGGTACATTATCGCTCCATTTCACATAAACAAAACGAAGAAAAGCAAAATCTTACATTAAAGCTGTAGAGGAAATTTAATAAATTCAGAATTTATAAATCAAAATGCACATTTATTGAATTGCAATGATACTCATAAAGTTTTTTATTATATAGTTCTTATGGTAAACTTAAGTAAAATACTTAATTTAAAATTTAAACTGTAAAAGTATTTTAAATTTTTTTTAATATTCATTTGTTGCATCTATACTTTGATCTATTTGTAATATAACAGTATTTTGTTTAAAGTCCGTAGTGGTGGAGTTTAAATTCTTAACTGTTTGCTGGTGTGTGAATGTTCCACAATGTTGATCGAGTTGATGTTTACGAGAAAACGTTTTGTTACAAGCTGAACATCTAAAATAAAAAAGTTGAATTAAATTTAAAATTTTTATAATTTTCAATAAGATAGATTCCGGTTTTCCGGGAGCCGCTATATGACGAATATACTTGTTGCTGTTTAAGTACACATTATCAAATTTAAAGCCTGATATATAAAAAGCTCCGCTATATCGGCATTAAACATATTGAAAAAAATTGCACATAATATTGCAATTTACCAAAATCGTCAGTGAAATTGTGGCGCCCGGAAAACATAAATCGTGGATTTTAATATTTGCTTACGAAAAAGGCTTTTCACCCGTATGTGTTAACATATGGTTTTTTAACACATTTGAATATGTGAAGGATTTTCCACATGTAGTACAGGTAAAAGGACGTGTGTTTGTGTGAATTCTAAAAAAACGAATTTTATAAGTAATTGTATGTAATAAAAATCTTAAAAATTTATTTCAAACCTTTCATGCTTAATATTTGAACTCCTATCAGAAAACGTACGCCCACAGAATTTACAGCGATATGGTTTCTCTCCTGTATGAACTCTCATGTGTCTACTTATTTCCGCTGCACATGCAAACGTTTTTTGGCATATTCTTACAGAAATATTAAAAGTGTAAAGGTTTCTTTTCAATTATATATAATTCAAATACTTACTCGCACACAAAGGGCTTTTCCGACATATGTCTTCTCATATGCATATTTAGATGACTGCGTGTTGCATAAATGTTACCGCATATTTCGCACATTATTGCTTTTTCACCCTCAAGTTTTTTATTCTTTTCACGCTTGACTGTAATTTTTGGCACTGTATCCTTTAATCTGGGTCTACCCGGTTTTCCAACCTTGCGTGGCTTAACTTTTTTTTTAAGTTTGAACTCTTCGTCACTGCTTTCTATTTCACTTATCGACTCATCAATAAACTCTACTGAACTTACATCATCTATGTCACTTATTTGTATATTGTCCTTGTCATCAGCAATATCAGTTAAATCTATTTCCTGGGCATCTATAAATTCTGTATGCAATTCTAAAAACATATCATCGTCTACTTCAGTTGTACGTAAACTGTTGTTTGCCGCTGTGCTGAACTCTTCAGTTTCTAATTTAACTTCCGACTAAAATATTTTATAAAAATAGGATATTGATTTCAATCTAAATATTTACTTACTTTGACAATGTAGGATAGCAGAGCATTTTCACTAGCCTGACATAAGTTCCGAAACCTGTGTGATGTCTTCAGTGATTCCAAACATTGATAACAAATCATTTTTGGAAACTCTTCGTGCTGCTTAAGCTATTTTTTTTTGTTTAAAATATAATGTATCAGCTAAAATCAATGACCCAGCTACAGACTTTGTCTTACCTCGATTCCACCACATTCTTCTATTTGTTTTACAATTTCAATACAACGTTTATCTGAATTATCAAATAGTGGCGTCATTGCTTCTATACTTGTGTCTTCAATAAGACATATTCTACACAAATTATAAAGTGGCATTCCTGTTTGATAAATGCAATAATAAAATGTTAATATTTTTAACAATTTTATGCTTTTAACGAGACTATCAGAACAATAAATGTTGCCACCTTTTCTATAAAATCAGCATTCCAGCAAAAAATTTTATGTGTTAACCAAAGAATACTTGTATAAGAACTACAACTTGAATGTAAACAAAACAAACCAACAAACACACTCTCAAAATAATTTAATACTACCAGACCAAGCATGTTGTTTTGTTGTTGTAAGTCGACCCACCACGAGTTAAAAGTTCCACCATGCCGAACGGAACGTTCCACCACCACGAATGGTCTTCAATTTTTTCTACGGAAGAACGCTATGAAGAGCGTAAATTGGATATTGTTTTCGACTGAGAAACGTCGTCAAATCAAACGAAGTTCTAAAAGGTAGTGAATAAATTCATTTCAAAAAATAATTAAATTTATTTATCACAATTATTATTTCAGTTATTAATATTTGAAGTTGGTGCGGAATTGCGTAATGGGATATAAGGTATTTAAGGGAATGTATGAATTTCCCAAAAATAACGAAAGGTAAAAAAACAATAATTTATTAATTGGTAATTGTTAATATTCTTTGGTGTTAAGTCTGCATGTAATTACTAATGACCTCATAGACGATAAGCACTGGTTTTCAACGAATTTATTTAATGGTGACTTCAGTTATTTTAAAATATTTAAAAACAATTTCAAAAAATAATATTTATTATTTAAGTCAATTGTAAATAAAGTAATGAATATAAAATGAATATAAATATATATATATAAATAATAATATATAATATATATATATATATATAAATAAATATATGTAGAATAATTATATTTATTTTGATGTTTAATTTAAATAAACTGTTTCATTTTATTTAAACAAAAATTTAAAATGAGTGTTTTATTTTATAATTATAGTTATCAAGTATTACAAAAATATTATAAGAATGATAAGCAATATATTAATTATGTAAATATTAAAATTTTAAAATTTCTATAAAATAATATACTGAAGAAATACTGTACTGTAGTTGTTGAGCTTTTTAAATAATAAAGACTTCGATTTAATGAACGATTATATTATTTACATACAGCAAAGTTAGTCATGCTTAGGACTAAGATTTAGTTGTATTATTTTCAAATCTCTTAAACATAATAAAAAAAATAAATAAAATAAATATACAAAATTTTATTCAGCTAATGTGTCACTTTAATTTTTGTAGAATCATACTAATATTCTGTGAGCCCAATGGTTTAGACCTGATGGTAAAAAGCAATTAATATAAATTGATAAATTATTCAATTCAGAAAGAATGTTTAAAACAATTCACGATTTGCACAAATAATAAAAACATATATGTAAACTTATCGACACGAAGATTGGATCTTTAGCTTGGAGAAGGAATACAATTGCAGAAACATATTCTTGGCAATTCTGATAGGCACTGCAAGGTAGTAGAGATAACTGAGTACATCTGTTACAAGAGCCTGGTCTGATAAAATTGAGGAGGTTTTCTACAATGGAAGCCTACAGACTAATAAGAATGACAGACATTCACACACAGAAATAAAAACAATCTTATACACACAACTTAAATAGAGGAGGAATTTCTGGTTGAACTTAAGCTGAACAATTGTAACGAATAATAAAAATAAAGGCATTAAAAAATGTCTTTAGCAATGTGTGGGTCTTCCTATCACAATCATACGTCAGCAAAAATAATTTTTTAGCCTGTACATTACTTATATTCAAAATATAAAATAATAAAATAAATATTATTTACCTTTTACGTTTTCACTCAGAAATAACTCGTACATTCTGCGTTTCATTTTAAAATCCAGAAATAATTTTTATTCTTGCCCTAAAAACGAAAAAAGCAAAAACGCAACTTATTTTTACAAACCGATAATAAGTTACGTTTCGGGAGTTTATTTTCGAGCACAGAAAAAGAAAATTCACTTTGTGTGCATAATTGAGTTTTGCTTAAAAACAAAACTGACATTAGATTACTAATGTCAGTTTAGCATAAATTTTAATAATAAACATCGTTTCTAAAAGCCTATTCATACTGCCAAGGAACAATAATTTTTAATATAATTTCACTTGTTTAGCTCACTTCGTTACAAATTTAAATTAAAATAACTATCTAGATCCCTATAAAAATTCTATGTTAATTTTAACTCTAAAACAAGATTTGAACGAGAATATCAAACTTAAAAATATTTTGATCGATAATAGCATAGAATGTGCCGTCAAGTTTTGCCAAAAATAAGTGTTTTATAAAAAATTATAGAATTTAGGATTGCTTGCACGTTGAAATCATCTGACTATGGCGTAAATTCCTTAAAAGTAGCTGTGAAGATTTATGTGTCAACGATTAGCTAAAACTTGCCTAAACACTGCACTTGACAAAAACATATGTAGAAATAGGTGGCAACATTAGGAATTTAAAAATACTATTAATGTCAACTTTTGTACATTTAAATCTATGGTAAGCCGGGAAATTGTTTATTTTTGTGTGTTATACGTTAAATAAGTGAAATACAAACCGCGAGTTTCGTGCATGTATTCAGATACTAACTTTTTGCTAGCTTTTTATCTGGATAATTAGAATACATTTAATAAATTTTACATGAAACTTTTTTTCTAGGAGTTCGAATCAGTATAATTATTATAATAGACATACAAAACTAACATTACAAAAATAAAAATTGAATTATTTAATAAAAAAATTGAATATAACGCGTGAGCTTACCTTCACAGATATTGTAATCTAAAACATCTAAATGTAGAGTGTACAATAAAAATTTAATATTTGTGAATCAGTGATATAAATTGAATGAAAAATATTTTCAACAAATGAAGGTTTTGTTATTTAACAAATTAATTGCAATATGTAATATATGACCATTTAATTCTAAAGACTCGCACTGTGATATACTGAAACTTTATAATTTTAATTTTTTAATAAATTTATGATAATTTGATTATTTAATAAAAAGTCAATAATATTTTATAATTGTTTTAATAATAATTAATCAGATTTTTTTTAATTTCAAAAAAGCGAAAGAACTTGTAAAAGTAACTTATTAAATTCATTAATCTTATTGCCTTTTCAATTATTTTTTCTTGCATGCAAAAACAAGATTTTTTGGTAGTTCGACATTTCTGTCAAATTTTAAATTTTTCTTTCATTATAGTTGGCGTTGCTATTATGTTAAATAAAATAATACTCATTTAAACAGTTCTATTACGTATTGAATGTAGTTTAAATATTTTTTATAAAGTGCTGTACTGGAAATTATTGCGAATAATAAAGCTTAATTATATAAAGAATTTGGTAATATTTATTTGAGAGCAGTCTACATACGTGGTAAGGAATTATATAAATACTTCACTTTTACTTAAACTTCTATAAAGTTTTATAAACGTTTATAGTTTATTTTATTTATGTTCATATATATAATCTACATCGCCTGTATTCGTTTTTTTACTATAGTAGCGGATTTGGTTTATTAATATTTTCTTCTGCTTCCTTGTGTATTATCGTATTGAAATGTTGAGTAAGTTCATGCTTTCGTGAAAAGCATTTATTGCAAACTTTACACCTTAAAAAAGTTAAAAATACGGTTAAATTATACATAAATATTTTTTTCTTGCATATGTACAACATTTGATTTGATTTACATAGCATTAATGAATTACGTTAAATACGTACTGAAATGATTTTTCTCCAGTATGAATTAGCATGTGACTCTTTAGCACGTTAGAATATGAAAATGCTTTTCCACAGGTTTTACATGTAAATGGCCGCGTGTTTGTATGGGTCCTAAAATACATATATATATATATATATATTGAAAATAATTTCAATAGCCTTTCGTATAACTTTTCACTTTTCACTTTTCACCTTTCATGTTTAATGAATGTGCTGTGATCTGCAAATCTTCTGTTACAGTGTTTACATGAATACGGTTTTTCCTTAGTATGTGTTCTCATGTGTCGACTTTTGCTGGAAGAGAAGTCAAATTTCTTTTTGCAAATTCTAAAAGTAACGTACAATCAAAATTATTATTTTTAAAAATGATTAAAACTTATTAATTACTACCTACTCGCATTCATATGCCTTTTCACGAGTGTGAATTCTCATATGGAGGTTAAGAAGACCAGCTTTTTTATATTTATTTCCACATACTTCGCATATATAAGTAAAGTCCTTATTCGTTCCCCCCTTTTTCTTGATTTTACTGTTTAATCCTGATGTGCTCACGTGAAGGGCGTTAGATGAAGTTCTTTTGGGGTTATTTTGATCTTCATATTTGTCAGCATTCATGTTAAAATTGAACTCGTAATCAAAATCTGTATCTAGTTTATTTTTATGCTCCACTTGGTTTGTATCCTGTGATGTAAATAGGTCTGGGCTTATAGGACTGATTAAAACTCCATTTACTAAGCGTTTTCGCAGCGTATTTTCACTTGCTACACACAATCGTCGGAACTTAAGTGATAATTTTAATAAATTAAAGCATTGTAAACATATTTTGTTAGGATATCCATTTTGGGGAGTAATCTGTTGACGTATACATTTTAAGCTTTGTTAAAAAATTTCCTAGTATTAAGCACATACCAGAACTCCGCTGCATTCTTTAATATGGTTTGTGACATCTCCATAATTAGTTATAGTATTATCAAACAGTGGTATCATTTTTTCAACATTTATGTTTTCAGTGATACAAATGCGGCATAAATTTTTTATCAACATTGTAGTAAGTATTTGTTTTTATAAAGTTGTCTTTCCAAACTGGAACAGCTGAGCTTAGTGTTGCCGCATAAACTATTTTTGTATAAAACCTACAGCTATTCGAATAAAATGCGCTTCGAGTTATACCATTTTTAAGAAGGTGGCAACATAAGTAGCTGCCCACTGTTATGTTAGATTTTACTTCGTAAACAAATAAAACAAAATCAAATTCACATATTTAATATAAATAATTAAATAATTAAAAAATTTAATATAAATAATTAAATAATTAAAAAATTAAACAATTAAAAAATTGGTATAAATTAATAATATATATAATATACGTTTCATGTATATAGGGTTTGAAAACTATTTGGCGTATATTTTCTGCATCTGTTTTTGAAGACTACATTTTAATAAGTATTGTCGTGTTAGTGATGGAAGTGTCAATAAAATGGAATATGTGCAGAATTTGTCTTCTGGAAGACCGTGCGGAATCCGAGAATCGCATGCGTTCCATATTTAGCGATCCTAAACTTTTAAATAACATTTTTGAATGTGCAGGTGTAAAAGTAAGTAATACAAAATTCGTACGTGTACATATATTAAAGGGTATAATCATTCTTAATTAGATCACACCTAATGATGCTTTGCCAGATAAGATTTGCCGCCAATGTTTAATGGTTTTAAGGTCTGCTGTGCAATTTCGTACCACTTGTCGAAAATCAGATGGTTTTCTGCAATATGTGGTTGCTAAAACAAAATCGGCAACATCCTTAACAAAGTTTAAGAAAAATCGTGAAGAGACAACTGGTTTAATAACCAAAGTAATTGATTGTATAAGTGAGGAAGAAGATAATTCTCCAATAGAACAAAATAATAGTGTTATCAGCAATGTTAAGTTCAAAACTAGTTGTAAAACAGCTAAGATTGGTAAATGTAGCAATGAATTGGAAATTCATGGTGAAATAACTGAAGGTAAGGAGGACCTAGAAGTAGTTGACGGAAATGCAAATGAGAATGTATTTGAATTGATTGCTATTGAGTCTGGAATAAAATCAGAAATGTATACCGAAGAATTATTAGATGACACAGAAGAAAATATGTTAGTCGCAACCATGAATAGCAATAGTAATTTTAATTATATGGAAGTTGAAGGTGAACACGTAGATACGATGAAAACCGTAACTGAAACAGAGATGCAATCAGAAGAATTTATTGTTAGTTTTGTTGAAGACGATCATGAAATTGAAAATACATTTAAATCAAAATTAAACACAATTGGAGACGATAGTGAGTTGGAGTGTATAAAACCTGAACCAAAAGATACTGATGATAAAAACAACAAAGGACAACAACAAAGCAGTACAATTGAAATATGTACAATTGACCCAGAATTATGTGAGGTAGAGTTTTTGGAAGGGGATTGTAGTCTTGATATGGGTTTGAAAAAGACAGAGACAAGAAGTATAATTAAAGCTAGAGATGGTATAAAAAAATTGATTCCACATGTTGCTAAATCACAAACAGCACGCATATGTATAAAACATAATGAAACTTATCTATGCAATACTTGCGGTAATTCGTTCACGGAGAGGAAAACCTTAAATCAACATATGCGTATTCATCGTAATGAAAGAAAGTATGAGTGCGAGTAAGTTTATTATTTTAAACATAGAAGGTACTTTATATTATAAATTTTGTTATGCCGTAGGTTATGTTTTAAACGATTCAATTCTGCCTGCAATTTATCAGCACATATGCGTTCACATACCGGTGAAAGACCGTATGAGTGTAAATTTTGTAGTAGAAGATTTTCAGATCGAAGTACACATGTAAAACATGTTCGGTAAGGCACGGTTACATTTAGTCCAATTGAATGAAACCTTAATATAATTTGAGTTTTAGGATTAATGTTAAAAAATATGTAATAATCGTACAATAAAATATTCTCGTCAAAGAATTTATTTAAGAAATTTCGTTTCTAAATCTGTATCCAAAATAAATTAAAAATCTTAACAAATAACAAAAAGTAACAATAAAAATATTAATTGATTTTGGTAGTAAATGTATAGATATTTTAAGTGCAATTACAATATATTTTTTTTCAAATTATTTAGTCATGAATATTTTGTTAGTTAATAAAAAAAATTGTTTACCTATAATTAATTCATTATTTTATTAAATGAATTATTTAATAAATTATTTATTTATTTATTTAATTAATTATCTTTTAATTAAGAACTCATACTAATGAGAAACCTTTTGTTTGCACGGATTGTGGAAAAGCATTCTCGCTGTCAACGACTCTCAAGGCTCACGAAAAAACGCATACTGGTGAGAAGCCATACAGGTACGTATAAAAAAAAGATGTTCAAAATAATAATAATAATGTAAATTAATAGATGTGAACCCTGCAACAAACAATTTAAGCTTCCTCATCAATTGAAAGCACATCAAAACAGTCAGCTACATAAAAACGTTGTGGAGCAAATAAGTGTTGTTTAATGAACAATAATAGCAACGCTTAGGAATTTTCAGATATATTTTATACAAAACCCAAAAATGTAAATTTCCTCATCAGTTAAAAGCTTGTCAAAAACAGCAGTCTGCAGAAGAATACTATGAAACAAATAAGTGCAGTATTTTGAAGTCAAAAAATTCAATTATCCATATTTTCATATATGGATAAAGGCAAAAATTGTATGTGTAATTTCATCTGTTGATAAAATTTATTTTGTAATACTTTTTGATTTTTTTATAAAATTAAATTAAATATGTGTACAATATATAAACATCTTAAGAACAAAAAAATAATATTAAAGCAAATTTTTCATAACAATTATGTCTATATATAATTGCTTTACAAATAAAATGATTTTTTTTTTTAAAAAAGATCGAACTTAGTGAGAATGCTAAAAATATATTTAGAATTTTTCAACTTTAATGTTATGTTTTTAGGTGCACTATTTTATTTTATTTTTTTACAGAAATTACAAAATTTATTAAAATAAAAATCATATTTAAAATTTTCGATATAAGAATTTGTATTTTTGGTGTTTAATAGGCATTAAAATATTTTTTATACAAAACATTATATGATATAAAAATATTGATTATACTTAGTTGTTATTATGAACTAGTCAAATATTACATCGTATCCTTCATCACTAAACTTTGATTCCTTTTGTTTATGCACCATTGTTTGTAAATGAGCTTTGAGTTGATGTTGCAGAGTAAATGATTTTTGGCATACGAAACAACTAAAATTATAAAAATTGAATTATAAAAAATTGAATTTTAACACTAAAATATGTATATTTACTTGTACTCTTTTTCACCCGAATGTAATTTAGAATGGTTTTTTAGAATAGCTGCATATTGAAAGCTCTTTCCACAAATATTACACACGTAAGGACGCAGATCTGTGTGAACCCTGTAATATGTAGTATGTATCATTAACATTCACGTCAATCATTTTATTAAATATTATTATAATACATTTCATGTCTATGCTTTTCACTTCGGTCAATAAAGTGTCTATCACAGACACTGCACTTGTATGGTTTTTCTCCAGTATGCCTTCTCATATGATTGTTTAATTCTGAAACTTGACGAAAATTTTTGCCACATATTCTATATAAAAGAAAAAATATTCGAAAGAAAATATTTTAATAAAAATCTTTAGAAATATTTACTCGCAATCGTGTGGTCTCACATCCGAATGTAAACTCATATGATATTTAAAAGCAGATTTCTTTTTGTAAACATTTCCGCAAATGGAGCACATAAATGTACCATTGGAAGAAGATAAGTATTGTGATGACTTTCGATTTTTAGTAACTTTCTTTTCCAGTTTTTCTTCTGTAATTTGAGGTATATTCTTTTCCTTAATCGGTGAACAATCATTAAGTGCTAGCTCTGCGTCGTTTGTTTCTGCACTTGATTCCGGCTCTTCGTTCATATGTCTGGTAGTTTCCTTATTTTCTGTGCGTTCTATATTTCTTATCTTAGTTAATGGCAAATCTCTTTGCGCAGGTTTAAGAAATGCATGTAATTTCGCTTTATTATATTTTATTGTATTATTAATTTCAGGTTCGAATAAGTCATTGTTACAGGAACTCTCTAAATAAATTTGTGTATTAATGCAAAGTTGTCTAAAATCAAACCAGTGCTTTACGATATCGTAACAACTTTGACATATTTGTTTTGGTAGATCTGGAGCATCTCTTAGCTGTAATTTGCTGATAACGTATACAATAGACTCATAAGTACATTAGTAGTTACCTTTATATCGCAGCAGTATTCAACACGGTTCGATAAGTTCATATCAAGACTAATATTTGTGTACAATTTAAGCTTCTCCTCCGATTTAACTTCGATTAGGCATATCCGGCATTTAGTTCCGAATTCCATTATGTGAACAAATATATTCTTTTAAAACCATATATTGCCTTTTGGTGGGAATAATTTGTTTATTTGTTGATTGGCGATGCCATATTGTATTATTTTGAAAAGAGCTATGTAATATGAACAAATTACTTCTGAACATTGGCCGTAACTTTTTCATTCAAACATTAAGTCGGTTGGCATCATTTTTTAAAATATGTTAAATGCTTTTTTAATATATGTTTTTTGTTGTGTTGTGTACAATATAAAATATATTATAGTAAACACTCAAAATTATTTAATTTATATAAAAGAAAACAAAATGAAATGATTAACAAAATTAAATGAGATAGAAATGATAAGCATTTCTGTCTTATATATTTAAATGATTTATTTATTTTTGTATTTGAATTTATCAGTAAATTTATTTATTTTATTATTTCAGTGAACAGTGTACATTCACAATAGATTGATTTCTGAATTTGACTCTACTGAAACCTAAAACCAAAGAATAAGAATAAGGTATTCTTTGCCCAAAGCAGGATATAGACGATGGTACATGTATGCAGACAAAATACGCAGTTCAAGTATACGCTTTGCTATACACTTTAAAATAGCGTTCATAACAGCAGCAGAACAAGTACATAGTGCAAAACAATAATTGAAACTGAAGAAATTGAGGTGATGATAATAGCAACCTATTATTTATTTCATTGTATAAAGATTTCATATATTTTAGAATTAAACATAATTTGTTATTTTAATTCTTTAAACTAAAATTATTTTTAATTTAATTCTTTAAAATCTTGCATTTTAATATTTTTATTCACAAAATAATTTTTTAAATATAAAAGCACGAAATAATTTAATTTTTTAATTTCAATTTAATTTAGCACAAAATAATTTTTAAATATATAAACTTCTTAAACTTCTTGTTTGTAGCACTTTTTTTCATTTGTTTTTCTTTTTGCCACTAATTAATAAATATTTTCCGCGATTTTTGTTCGTCCGACGCTTACCAAAATTCTTAAAGTATGAGAAGTCTGCAGATTTCGATATACACAAACAGATATGTGTGCAGACTAAACAAATATTTGAAAAGTTTTAATATTACAGCATACACGTCTCAGACCAATTTTTGGTATGTAAACTTGAATATACACGTGCGATTTGGTAGCACGCATACTTGGTCAGCACACATGTAGAATCTTCTATACCATGGTTAAGACATAAAATTTTTTGCAACTGCAGATTTTAAGAGCAGTGTTGTTGCTTCACATGTTTTCTTTCGTAAGTTGCAAATATTTTTTTTGCTACAATTACTCTATTGTTTGTATGAGAACAGAAACTCTGCTCTTTGAGTAGATCAGCAAATCAGAGTTTTCGAAAGGAAGATGCTGAAAAAGATTTACGTGACCGACGACATTAGGGTGTCCAAATGGGTATCCAAAATTATAGGTTTAAAACAACATGTAAAACATAACGGAGAAAGCTAATTGATGCAGCTAAAGCTCACCCCGAGCTGTAATGCTGATGATGAGAATGAATTATCAGTCGTAAGACTTTGTTTTAAAAGTGCTGAGTTATAGCATTGACAGACGTGCGCGCTTAATTATCATTAAGCAGCCATGGTTCGTTACCTGTGACGATCTTATAAACGTTTTTTGAAGTACCGCGATCGTATTTTTTGAACATTTCTTTACACCAATCGACACGAGCCTTTTTTGAGTGATTGTCAAATTGTACGGGATCCAACGAGAACAAACATTTTTTACGGCCAGGTGTTCATGCAATATCGAATGTATGCTGTTGGGAGAAATGCCCAAGGATGCCTCTATCTCATGGTATGTCACATGATGATCTTGCATTATCAGCTCACGCACGGCATCAATGTTCTCTGGCACAACGGCAGTTTTTGGTCGACCTTCACGGAATTCGTCGTTGAACGAGCGTCGGTCACGATTGAATTCATTAAACCAGTTTTTCACAGTGCTATAGGATGGTGCTTCATCGCCATACAAGGATTTAAGATCATCAATGCACTCTTGTCGTGATTTTCATGTCGAAAGTTGTGAAAAATGATCACACGAAAATGTCCACGTGTTAATTCCGAGATGAATTTGATTTTTTGGCCGATTTGAATTTTTCAAGTCTCTGTAAATAAAACAATTCACAATTAAATGACAACACGTTCTGAGTGATATTATGCTGAAAAATGTCAACCTTTCCAATGGAAATGTCAGATTGCACCTGGCAACACTTAGTGTTGCCTACGCCAGAAATATGTAACATATAGTAGCCCTCGTAAAACCTAATGCCGAAATTGCACCCTCAACTAATCAGCATCAAGAGCAGCACGAAAAACAGCAAACTTTGGCTCAAGCTGCACGCGCTCACCAGGTCAAACTATTCCAAATAAAACCTCTTAGCAAACTTACGCTCAAGTTGCTGCCAGTCAAATAAATCAAGTTTCTTCCAATAAAAATAATCTACACAGCGATGCATTGGTGAGTGAAATGAAAGAAATGATGAAACTAATGCAAGAAATAATGAATCAAATAACTACCAAGACAAATCTTCTAGTAAGTCTTCTTTCTAAACAAATCTTATGCCCATAAAGCTCGTCCCATGGAATGCTAATGGGTTGTGAAAACATTCTTCTGAACTGAGATAATTTCTACCAAAAAATAACGTAGATGTAGGTATTATTAATTTTAGAAACTCATTTCACAAAAAAAATTTTTTGGCTCTGCAGTATTAATTAAAAGAACATTTAAACATTATGAATGTACTCACTACAGCACTGATGAAATCCAAGCCACAAATATTATGATCGAGGACTCAGTCGGACCAATTCTTATCTCTGCCATATGTAGCACACCAATGTAATGTAAAGGAAGAAATCTACACAAATATTTTTTCAACAATAGGGAATTGATTTAAAACTGGTGGTGGCTTCAATGCGAAAAATTTATTCTGGGGATCCCGACTAACCACAAGAAAAGGACGTGAATTATACAAAGCAGTGAGACTCTTGAAACTTAAAGTTTTTTCCACGGGAGAGCCCAGTTATCAACGGATCATTCACCAGTAATTGTCATAATAGGTAAAGACCTTAGAAACAAGATTCATAAATGTGAATTATACAATAAGCAAACAAATTGGACTATATTTGAAACAATATTGTCATCGTCTCTAAAAGTCTCCAAAATGCCACTAAAGAACGAATAAGAAATAATTGAAGCGACTGAATACCTAACCAGATCTATGCAGGAAACAGCATGGGAAGCTACTCCTGCTCCAAAAGTCTATATAAAGAATCTAGTAATGTGTATTTAAAAACTAAAGAATATACGGAATGCTAGAAAAATATAGTATCGTATCAGATTTCTTGAAGATAAGAGGAAACTTAACAAAATTACTAAAGACCTAAAGACTTTGCTGAAACGACAGAGGGAACAAAATACGCAGCAGTTCTTACATAGCCTCGACACGTCTCACTTATCTCACTATTCTCTATGGAAAGCAAATAAAAAAGTAAATAATACAATAGATTATCGACCCCCACTTAAAAAGACAGATAATACTTGGGCGAACCGTCTGACAGTCTGAAAAAGCTCAACTTTTCGCAAGCCATCTAAAAAACGTTTTTACTCCACATGATATGATTGGCGATTCAGAAATAGATGTCAACATTTCCAAATTTTTTTGAAGAAACTCACCAAATGGAGTTACCAATTAGGAAATTTAAAAAACGAGAAATAATTTCTACAAATAAATCTCCTAAAAATCAAAAGGCGTCATGACCTCATAACTGCTGAAATCCTTAAAAAACTTCCAGATGTTGCTTAAATATTTATTACCCATCTTTTAAACGCATCTTTGTTAAAAAGTTTCATCCCAGATCAATGGAAAGTTGCCGAAATAAAGATGATACTAAAACAAGGAAAATCAGCTGAAGATGTAAAATCCTATCGTCCAGTAAGTCTCCTTCCCATTCTTTCAAAAGTTCTTGAGATACTATTTTTAAAACGTCTTATGCCGATAATTGAGTCGAAACGAATAATTTCGAATCACCAGTTTGGATTCAGAAAAAAACACTCAACCATTGAGCAAATTCATGGAACTGTTGAAAAAATACAGGCCATTTCCGAGCGAAAAGAATACTGCTCAGCAGCGTTTTTGGACATATCTCAAGCGTTTGATCGAGTATGGCACCAAGGACTTCTTTTCAAATGTAAAAAGCTTCTGCCACTTAACTATTATACGTTTATAAAATCGTATCTATTTAAAAGATTCTTTTATGTAAACAATGAGAATGAAATGTCTTCTCTACATGATTGAGCTGGAGTACCACAAGGCAGTGTACTCGGTCCAAACCTTTTTCTGCTTTTCACATACGACGGTAGGAATTGTAATTGGAACATTTGCAGATGACACGGCTATCCTGGCGAGTGCAAGCAATCCCTCTGTAGCCTCTTTCAAACTACAAGCTGGTCTTGATTGTATATCAAAATGGTTGCAGCATTGGCGCATGAAAGCAAATGAAACAAAATTTACTCATGCTACATTCGCAATGAGAAAAGACACCTGCCCGGAAATTAAACTTAATAATATAATAATTCCGTAATCAAACAGCGCTAAATACCTGGGCATGCACTTGGGTAGATGTCTGACATGGAAAACACACATTTTTAACAAAAGAAAATCCCTTGGGATTCAATACCGAAAATGTTTTGGCTACTGAATAAAAAATCTTCTGTATCTCTAAAGAAAAAACTTATTTTATACAAAAGTGTGCTAAAACTAGTATGGACCTATGGCATTCAACTATGGGGAACAGCCTCAACATCCAACATAGAAATTCTTCAAAGATTTCAGTCTAAAACTTTACGAGAAATGGTAAACGCTCCATGGTATGTAACTAACATTTAAATCCATCGGGACCTTAGGATAATCCAGGTAAGAGACGAAGTAAAAAATATAGCTAGAAAATACCATGAACGAATACAAATTTATCTCAGCACCCTTGCTTTGAATTTAATGTTCCCCTCAAAAATTTTTACGAGACTGAAAAAGAAAACCCCGCTTCAGATATTATAATAAAAATCTTAAATTAAAAAGAAAAGAGTAGCTCTTTACATAGAAAACTACCTTAGTTGCAAATTATCATGACTTAAATACTATTTATTAAAAAATTGTAAAATGTCACCAAGTGTTGTGACAGAATACATATTGTATTTGAATTAAATAAAAAAATAAAAATAACTATTTAAACATTTATATAAAAATCTATACAATATATATAGAAACTGAGTACATATTCAGATATTTTTATATTAATTATAAACTAAATCTATTTCTAAATATTCTAAAAATCTCTCTTGACTTAAGAAGACACAAATAGATATTTTTACCATATTATACATAAAAATATTTTCTAGGGAAAGGTGAGGCGAATTATTTTATTACATTTTCGCAGCATAACATAAAACGAGTAAAACGTAAAACAAAACAAAAAAGGAGAAAAACACAAAACGACGTTTTAGATGTTTTTTGGACAGCGCTCTTTCGACATACTTGGCTTGCATTTTTGTAGTTGTTTAAATAAAAGTATCGGCGGTAAAAATCAGCAACGAAGTCATTGAAATAAATCTGTTTAAGTGTTCAATAATAGACAAAGCAAAATCGAACACATATAGTGCAGTTAAAAGCAGATCCGAAGTCAATTCCCAGCAGTGTTCAGCGTTCAGCATACGTTGTGCAGCACCATTAAATTAGCGAAATTAATGGTTTAAAATTTTGTATATAGTTAATAAATAATAAATAAAATTTCCATCAAAACATCATAAAAAACTAAGGTCAAAGCGAAAAATTCTGCGCAAAAATTTTTTATTAGTGAATCCTTTGCATTAGATCTACCTGTTTAAGCATCTTTTGCATTGTTGCGTGCCACTAATAGAAAATTAAACCTAATTTATACACTTTGTTGTTGCAATTATTGCAAATCTCTACGCATATCCACCATTCTTTACCACCTTTCAGTAACTTCTACTGCACTTGACATTCTTGTCTCTGAGCTCGAGCCTTATGTCCGCAATTTTAGGCCTTTTGGAGTTATTAAGCCTCTTGACACTCCTACTCTGAATCTAATTGGGCGAAAGAAATCCCTTCGTCGTAAAAACGATTACCCTCAGTTTTGGGGAATCCTCATAAACCTAGACATTATTTTTCAGAGAATAAATAGAGCCAGCCACATTAACTTGCAAGCTAAACTTCGCACCACCACTTGCAGGTCCGATGTTTTCAATATGATCACACAATTTTGTGGTTTCCATAGAACTATTACTGAATTGAGCTATTTCAATAGCATCATATTTGAAGATTATGCCAAGTCGAATGCATTTGGTGAAGTCTTTGCTAGAAATCACCGCCTTACCGCCTTACCGCCTCACCCTGAATACTGGTAATCCCGACTTCGTTTCTGCCACCAACGTTTCTTCAACACCTATAGCAGTACTGCTGTTAATTTCTCTCTTCAATGCTAATGCCTCTCCATGACCCTAACGATCTAATCACTTGACGACCGTGGAAAAAGGCGGTCATATGTCTCATCCATAATCATCTATGTTTAATAACCACCTCAGGACCTTCTCCACCAACTACCATAAGTGCAAAATTAAGCTCAATCTGACCAAAATCTCTGGCATACTAACGTGCCGATCGCGTTAATTCGTTCAAGATCTCCAATTTGGAGCTTGGCACTTTTATTCGGCTTGTTGATAAGCTGAAATATAGAGATGTGTTTACTCCGGAACACAATTTCATATCACACATCAGCTATGTCATTTGAAATGTTTTGAAAAAACAAGAAAACATTAAAATCTTGCTTTGTTTGCTCAATCGGCTTAATACGAGTAGCAACGTAAAAGTCCTTGGCTAGAATCATTTCCACTGTCCTATCCTTTCATAAACTTTTCTTATCTGGTTTGGAAATAGCCCCCTCTCACTAAATGGAATTGAGCCCCGCTTCTCTTCAACTCTTAAAAAGAAAAGTTCTCCTTGATTGTGTGAACCGACGCAGAGCACAATGCAACCAATGTTACTTGAATAGACGAGTACCAGCTTTCACTTAATATGAAATATCTCACAAGCTCCAGACATTTAGGTCTAGCTCCCATCCAGACATCTAGGTCTAGATCCCATCCAGACATCTAGGTCTAGATCCCATTCAGACATTTAGGTCTACTGATTGGAATCTTACCTTTAGAGGAACTTGCTGTCCAACAACTCTTCTATACAGACACTTTTCATCATTGTCTATTTCTGGCAGTCCTTTTTCAATCAATGGGTCCCAACTCCTCCCGCTGGCATAATCCGTTTCTTTTGTCACTTGGCTATGCACCGTGTGTAATCGGTATAGGAATCTCTAGGAACACCATCTCTGTTGAAAACTACTCACACCCGCATCGCACTGATATAGTCTTCGCCATCAACAGTTCATCCTCTCTCAAAATCCTACAGTTTATCTGCAATGGTCTAAGAGCGAAACTATTTGAAATTGCAGCATTCATGTCCTCAAACGATATCGCAGTAGCTACTCTGCAGGAGACTAAACGTCTACCTAATTCCCCTCTGTTACCCCCCTTAGGTTTTACCTTTATCCGTAAGGACCGCTCAAGGTGGAGTTGCCTTCCTGTTGCGGGATTCAGCATCCCGCAGCATAATTATCACTGAAATCTAGATTCAATAATAAGGCAATTACATTTAATGGGATCACATTCCCCGATTCCAAGCAATGTGCCCAGCCATTTTGCCACCTTTTCGTACCCAATGCTTCTGCCTCCCCTGCTATTCGCAGACGAAACGCGCCTTCCGGAATCCACATTGCAACGACACCGCGCTGTTCTTCCTTGATGATGTGCTTGATGTGAGCAGTCAAGTTAACGCCTCGAAGGTACGATACTTGAATCCAATGGCATCTCGATGCTCATGCTCAATAACCTCGGGACCATCGGTGTTTTAACTTTGACACATATCTTGAACTCTTACATCTGTTTTCAACATAAGGAAGACTGCTAGGATAATCTCTCTCTTGAAATCGGGCCGGTTGGCAGCCTTAAGTGAATTGTATATCCCTTCTATTTCCAGTAGTTGAAGTTTTGGAGACCCTTGTTTTTAAACAAATATCCCCTCACATTCAGCTAGCCGCTCATCAATTTGGATTTCGCAAACGTCATAGCACTGCCTATGCTCTTTGTGAGATCATATCCCAAATCTCCAATGGTCTAATTCAAAGTCGCTCATGCGAACGCAATGTGCTAGTTGGCCTCTCATAGCACCTTGCTAAACGATTTGTTTGAAACATCTATTCCTGACTCAGCAAAAAGAAGGTTTTGTAACTATCTCATAGGCAGATCAGATTCCTTGATTTTAGAGATAAAATGTCAAAGGCCAGGAAATTGAACCAAGGTCTCCCAGGGTGGCGTTCTTTCACCGATCCTCTTCAATTTATTCATGTCTAAACTCCCAGACTTCCCTGAGGGAGTCAGAATCATAATGTATGCCAATGATTTCACAATTCTAGCCAGGGGCTAGGAATCCTCTATATTGTGCAGCAAGTTAAATGCATATCTCCCCATTGTGGCATTGTTTTTGGGTAATAGAAATCTTCACCTATCACCAAATAAATCTTCAGCATTCCTCTTTACTTCCTGGACCAAAGAGATATGTTTGACTCTGCCCATTAATATTGGTGAATTCAGGATCCCCACCACCAAACCCAAAATTCTCTGCTATGTGTGATCGGTTGAAATCGGGGCATCAAACCGGAACTAAACCGAAATCCGGAGAAGAGCTATATTTTTGCTAGAACGAAAACCAGAACCGAGCCGAGAAAAATAGGTATATCGATTAATTTCGGTTCAGCACCATATAGTTTGGTATCTGTGCATCTGTTTCTTCAGTTGTTGATTATTTATTTTTTGAAATATACTTTAAATTAACTCAAACTAATCCTAAAATAAGAAATATTTGCACGAAACATATGTTAACTAAATCATTTAATCTAGAACTAAAACGAAACACAATTTTTCAATTATGAAAATATTTCATAATTGGTATATTTCATATTTCATAATTTTCAAACAAATACCGTTATTTATATACGCAGAAATTTTGTTATTAAATAAATGCATTGACTATGCTTTCTAAAATAATGAATAAGTATTATAATTATGGGGAAAAAAAATGCATACAAAGACATGGCACTACTCATGACGTCGCCTGTCTGTTCTCCTGTCTTACAACTCTCATAAGTCTTCGACCAATTAACCTTTGGACCCACCCCATTAAAATTGGCTAATTAAATTAATTAGACTCGGGTTAAAGTTCACTTAAATCCCACCTACCCAATCCACCCCTTTTCCCGATTCCCCCGCCATCACCACCAACCACTTCCCCACTACGTGGGTGGGTCTTGTATATCCCAGCGGGTTACGATAAGAACACCCATTAGTAAAATTGATCAAAATTTTTTCAGGTACAAGCTTTAAAAAGTATTTTAAAAATTGTTAAAAATTTTTTAACAATAAAATTTTTAAGAAGGTAAAAGACGGCAATTAATTTGATAAATCTTTAAGATTAAAGATTACATAGTTTCCAGTAAATGGAAATTTAAACATTGCTGAGTCATATTTATAATTTTAAATTAGAAATTATTTTAAATTAGAAATAATAATAAAAATATATTTAGTATTAAAAAAACAATTTGTAAGATGTTAATTTATATTCATTTGTTAGCAATATAAAATTTGATGAAAACTTTTGTGTATCTGTAAGAACCATCCTTTAATATCAGGTTTAAGTAGATTACTAATATTTTGCTTAAATTGTTTCCATTAATCTCTATATGTTTTTATAACTTTTATATAACAAATAATACTAATAATAATAATAAAATGATATAATTTAACAAATTAAAAACAAATCTTAACATCATTAATAAATATTTAATAAAGTATAAATTTTACAATACATTATATCCATGTTTATAGGATTTAAATTAAGTATATTGAATATGATTTAACAAAATATGATTAATGTAGTAAATAATATGTTACAACAATAATAATTAATTTAATTTAAAAATTGAAAATTGTTCAAAAGAGAATAGTAAATAGTAAATGCATATTTGTTTTGTTTATTGACGTCGTTTTTTGACTTTCCCTTCAATGGTTCCTTTACTTTGCCTAGATTTTTTTGACTTCGGTGTTTTAGTCTTTTTTCGTTCACTGAAATCTAACACCTCAGAATCGTCATCGCCACCATATTTTTCCATTAATTTGTCCATAAGCGAATCAAAGTTTTCTACACGAGATTTCTGTCTTAACATAATTTGTTTTTCCAAACTGGAAGTATTTAAATTGTCATCTTTTGCTTTCATTTTCTTTTTAATTTTCTCAGCTTCCTTAGATTCACGTGCATATTTGTTATGACGCTTCTTGCGTTTACTTTCTGGTTCATTAACAAACACATCATATTCTGGAACTTCGTCGGCATTTATCATTTCCATGACAATTTCTTTTAAACGTGGTTCGTCTTCAACTTTGAAAAACGGCACGGCATTCATAATATGATCAATGCTTCCCTTTCCTGCTAAGTATGCTTTCTTTATATCAGACTTCTCCAAATCAGAGCCCACGTATGAATTCTCATAGTTAACTATATCTTCTTCGGTAATTGGTTTGAAGATGGACTTCCATAGGTCGAGCCAATTTGACAACTTACTTTCCACATCATCATCGTCAATCATATTGCGTTCATCATATAAGGCCCGTTTCCCACTATCGGTAAGGACTTGATATAGTTTTGATAGCAATTTAAACTTCTCCGTAGCAGTTTCCTTTTCATTGTTTGCAACTCGGTCTGGATGTACTTTCAGAGACAATTTATAGTATGCTTTCTTAATTTGATTATCCGTGGCAGTTTTCGGTATATCAAATAATTTATAAATATCTCTGGTACCAAACAACTTTTCACATAATTCTAAAGTGGACATTTTCACAGCACTTCTCCGAACTCTTTTTCGTTAAACAAACCAATGTAATTGCAAGCGCGCCAATTAGTGTCGATAAACATGCGATTACTTAAACTTGATTTAGTGTTGCAGCCAAAGCAGCTGTCAGAGAATACATGCAGGGAAACCGAGTGCTAAGATATGTCAATTGAATTGTTTAATATGTAACTATATTTATGTTATTGTCTATTATATTTGCTAATAATTTAGTTAAAATAATTATAACTAGAGCATATAATCAAATGATAAGAAAGCTAATGCAGATAACTTCAAATTTCACGTATACTGTAAATTTAAATGATCAAAGCATATAAAATGTAATTTTAATATTGTATAATAACAAACAAATGTTAAAATATATATTTTGTAACAGGACCAAAATAAGATTTTCAATTACAAATAAATCGTTTTTATAATATTTGTACAAGAATCAATTTAACATTAGCTTTGGTAGAAATATTTTTGGTTGCTTTGTTGTCAAAATTAACTATTATTAAAACAATTGATTGTAGTGTTATGTTCAGACCGCCAAATTTCCTTAATTTCGTATAAATGAAATTAAGGTAATTTCGAAAGCGTTCATACTGCCCCAAATTAAGAAAATCATATATTTTTTGTTTACAAATCGAATATTAAAAATTACATGTTCCAAACACCATTTGTACCTGGGAAATTTTGAAAGTTGATTGTTATAACTATAAAGGATGGTATTCAGTAGTTTTATTAGCTTTAATGGATTTCAGGTATGTGAATTATTATTTTTCACTCTATTTTAAATTAATAAAAGTTCAAATTTAAAAATATTAACTACTTTCAAAATATTTCCCAGTTTTATTAAAATCAACTGTCATTGACATTTATTTAAAAAAACTGTCACTTGTTTGTTATCACAACTTTATCTTTTGCTAAAAATTTATTTAATCTTATGCATTTCAAACGTCTCTTAATTTCAGCCTTCGTTTCAACGAAATTAAGGCCAATTTCCTTCATCACGTGCTAACTTCAAAACAGAATTTTGAATGGAAAACATTTTAACTTCACTGAAACGAAGATGAAATTAAGATTTTTCGAAGTTAAGGTGTGTCTTAACATAGTGTTTTATTTAAACAGAGAAAATAGGTCTGTTTGCGTGCGCAATCAATTGTACTTTTGTATAAGTTGTGATGTAGGCCGCATATTATTAAGAAGTAGAGTCTCCAATGAGTGAGACATAAGATAATGATATTAGTAAAAATCAGTAAAAGTTATACTATGTTCAGAGATAGTAAATTTCTTTTTGTTTTTCGTTGGCACTGTTGTACAGTATTAAGACCGGTATTCTTCACTATCTGCTCCCAGATAGTTGTTTGATACTGTTTGCATCTTCCAGTTGATGTTTTTGTTATTATTGTAACCCGCGGAGATCTTGAAGCAGATAACATGAAAGGTTTTAGAAGACAAAAGTGCTTCCTGTGAAATATCATAACCAAGCAATACCTCCTTGCGTGCCGCACAGATGACCATTCCAATTGCGTCATGTTGAGTAAAGCTCTCCCTCCAAGATGCATTCGTCGATCCATTTCTTTATGTCATAGGTATATTAATACCTTTTGTAATGGAGCTAACGCTAGTGACGTTGAATGCTTCTCTCAGGGAGAACGACGACTTCCCCGTACAGCAAAAGCTATCCTACCTCAATTGAGATCAGGATATAACCATATGCTAAACAGCTATTTGTGACGCATAATTGTTATCCTGTTCAACTGCACATACAAACCATAGTCCAATTGACCACTGAAATGGCCAGGTTTCTTCGTATTGATTCTGGTTGATTTCAATTTAAGTTCCAACCATTCCCCATTCACCCCTAAATACTCCTACCTCCACTCATCCACATCTGAATCCATGTATCCGTCACGTAATTACTTCATATTATTATGCTTTTAATATCCATACAATAACAACATGCCAATTATTGCCATCGCTTACAATTGCTTCTTAAATAAATGAACAAAAAAAAAACAAAATAACTATTTTAATACATTTTAAAATTGATTTAATAAAAAAATATTTAAAATTCGTAAGTTAAAATGTTGTACACTTTAGTAGAAAACTTAGTTTGAAGGAAATGCTTGTTGTTTAAAATTAAGTGTATTTACATACTTTCACTTGTGTTCCTAACTTTCGAACACTATTTTTTTATATCTTAATTGATAGCAGTAATTTGAAAACAAATTCAGAATCAAATTCTAACTAGTTGGATTTGGTTGTACTTCATCTTCAGTTACATCCTCCTGGTCTATTTCCATAGCTCTGCTTTCAGTTTCGATTTCAAAATATTCGGTTGCATCACAATTATTTCTCAAGTTTTCCTGTAATTCGTTGAGTTTATCAAAATACTGTATTGCACCTGACACAGCAAATGGTGGTATATTAAACATCGGATGTGTGGGCATAAGCTCATTAATAGGATCACCCAATACTTGTGGATTTAAATTAAATTCTGAATGTTGAGCAATAGATACTCCGCTAAGCGTGTAACAGGTGTGGTAAAGATCTTGTGGTCTAAAAGACAAATTATTCTTACAAATTTATGTATATATACTAGAACATACTTTCCAGGTTTATCTATTAAACCTCCACTTTTCTTTTGACAGCATAATAATATGTATTCCTGTAGTGCACCAGCATCATAAATTGATTGTGTTAACTTTTTACCTAATAACGCAACATGCAGTTTTTGCACAAAATAAATCATTTTCGAATATTCTTACTTTTATTGATAATTGCTTGCGTAATTAATATTGACGCACCAACCCAAAAAGAATAACACCCGTCAACTAGTTTATTTGTACGACCTTGAAATCCACCTTCATAACTCATTTGTCGTTGCAAGTTCCATTTCTGAAATAGTAAATTAATTAAATTTTCATTTAGCATTGTAATTTTATTTATATGTTTAGGCGGCATTTTTCTTGCTTGCTCATTAAAATAGTTTATCTGCATTACCAATAACATTTCAGTATCACATTTATCAGTTTCGTTTAGAAGAGCTAAGGCTGCAATACCACAATAAGTGTAGCCACCATGTGCTTCTAAGTCCGGTGCACCTCCAAATCCTCCTTCGTACGTTTGACAACTTGATATCCAAGCTCCCGTTTTATCAAAAAGCTTCTTCATAACATTTTCTGGCAATTTAGCAAGACTTGCACATACTATAGCACAATAAGCACCACGCACATCAGTCTCTCCATCAACATGTAGGCGAAAGGCACCATTCGGTTCGCGCACAGAAAATAAAAATTTCGTTAAAGAGTCTCGGTCTATGCCAACATAAGCGCTATTTGTTCCAATCATACAAAGGCAGTTTATAGCTGCGTAACTTGTTGCTAAATGAGGAAATTGTCCTGGACCACCTGCAAAACCTCCATCTTTACTGCGACATCTAAAGTTAACTGTTAGTTACCATTAGCTACTATAAATAATATTACTTTAGTTACTTGATTAAAAATTGTACAACGTCTTCTAAAAGCTCATCGGAGAAGTTTAAACTAAGCATATTTGATGCTTGAAGAATCCAATATAAATTCCATGGTCGGCTACTATCTAAACATTCATAATTGTTTGGCAAGCGGTGAATCATACTTTCCAACATGCGCTGATGTTCCTCTCGATAGAATTTAGCTACTTTTGGATCTAAATATCTTAGCTGTTGAAATCTATCAAAACATTTCTCAATAGAGTTTTCAGTTTTTTTCTGTTAACACATTCAAATAATAAATATTTAGTACCCGTTATTCAAAAAGTGAATTACTGACCTGATCTCTGGAAGTAACCGTCGATACTTTCTCATCATCAAATTTATAAACTTTTGCTTCTATGAAATTTCGGAACTTCATTTCTGGCGAATTATCCATATTATTAACAACTAATTTTAACTAAACTAAAAACCTAATTAGTAGATTTAATAACAACAAAAACAAAAGTGTGAAATTATTTGACACATTTATTTTTAACATTAAGAAAAGAACAGTGAGAGTCGCGGAACACATGTGCAAATTTAAAAAAAACTGTTCGAACACAAGAAGATAAGCTGTAAAATTTCTATTAGAATAATCAAAGTGTTATAAACATATATTGGTGTATTACGATATCAACATATGTAGGTATACGAGCTGGTCGTTTCGATTAATAATAATATTTGAGATGTGGAATTTGCAGTCATATTCTAACAGATCTAATAAAGTCAACAAATTTCCGTTTGACAGAAATACAATTTGACATATTCATATTCAAATTCTACATATGTTCTGGAACATATACTTACTTATAAGTTCACCACATACTGAAGAGGTGAGTTTTTAAAATGATTCCACATTAGGTTTGTTTTATATGTCAAAAGGTTTTGAAATGAAAAAAAATAGCTACTTATTGTACAAACAAAAGATGTTTAATTTGTGGAATTATATAATTATGTTGAAATTTTTGCTTATAGTATTAATTGCAATAAATTTTATTTATTGTGCGATTGTAATTAATAAAATTGTGGTACGAGTGCCTAAGGAAGATGATATTGGATTGATATTTGGTAAAACTCTTAAAAGTGATTCATAAGTCTAAAATTTCTCTATGACAATTTTGCTAATATATTTATTATATATAATCAGATATGATTTTAAACAGTCTCCAAATCTTTTATATAATATTTTGTATTGTATGTTATAAAGATTTATATATATAAAGTCCCACATTGATTACGGTTCTGAATTGCTTTACGCCTTGTCAAATACAAAATAGTATAGTATGGTATAGTCAATTAATGTAGAGTATAGTAAACAGTTTTATAATTTACGAATACTTTAAAATAGTTAAGTATCAAGTGGTACAATGTAGGATAATATAACCATTTATCCCTTTACCTTTAAGATCTTTGTGTGGCAAATACTGATATGAATAATAAAAAAGAAATGTTAGAATTTCGCATACGTTCCGATGGATCATGTTGTCTTAATATATCGGATGGTAAAATAATGACAGATGTAAATGTTGATTATTTAAATGTCTCAATTACAGGATTTTATTAATAAATTTAAATTTAAGGCTAGCAGAATAGTTGGTGGGAATTTTGGTTCAATAGAAGCAGGTGCTGTTGAGACAGTATCACTCATATGGCCGACTGTGGTACTGAATTATTTTTGAATTGAATTATTGTGGTATTTTTGAATATTTACTTGCTTCAATTAATATTGAATTTTTCAGTCACTTTATAATCGTGTGGGATTTTGTCCAATTATTATTGTTTCTATAAATGCCAACGACGAACAAAAGAAATTTAAACATATGCTGCACTTTGATACGCGGTTTGCTACATTAGATCCAGAAGGACGCACCTTGCGGAGACGTAATATAGTAAACAAAAAACTGTACGGCTTAAATATGTCAATGTTTTTTATAGATAAAAATTATAAGGATTGTAAAAATTGGGATAAGGAATACTTAAAAAATTGTACTCCAGTTAACTGTGAAGAGCGATATTTTGGTCGTCGTAATTATTATAATCATACTTCTGAGCAATGCGAAGAAGTGCCCCGTTGCGCCGAACACATTGAAGTAAGTTGTATAGTTCTTTTTTACATATGCATATGTAATATAAAAATGATTGAGTTAATAATTATAGATTTACGATATTTATGGCAATGAATGCATAAATCCCAAACAGTTTTGCAATGAAAACGATTTGGATATGATTCGCAAGGGCAAATATCAGGAAGAGTCGTTAGACCCGTCTTCAAGGTCGCATTCGGTATATTAAAATTAAGAAAAATTATAGTTTTTATAGTTCCCAAATTGGAATTAAAAAAAATATTCGCATTGTTTCCGAGGGCGCCGTGGCTTAGTTGGTTAAAGCGCCTGTCTAGTAAACAGGAGATCGTGAGTTCGAATCTCGCCGGGGCCTGAGTTTTTCATATAATGACACACTAATCAATTGCTTTTTGTGTCTATTTTATTTAGTTTATTTGAATAATATTATTTGTATTATATATGTATGTACACTTAATTTTTTCTCTGCTTGTTTGCGCAGGGACATCCGCACGTTGTTGTGAATCTGCCTGATGATAATAAACCGACTCCAAATAAGGTAAAAAAATCAGATGTTAAAACCATTCCGTCTTCGAGACATCAAAGAGAAAATGCTCAAAGCGTTGCCACGGAACCAACGACAGCTAATAACACCAATGATGCCCAAATGCCATATTGGTTTAAGGGTGTTTTTGATGGATTACTTATAGTAAGCTAATGATATACATTAAAATCTGGTGGATGATTTAAATTTTATGAAAAGGTTGGCATTATTATATTCTTTCAGGTCTTCGCCACAATTGTTATTTATATATTAATATGCTTCGTAATATACTTAATTGTATCCTGGATATCAAAACGTAATTTGAAGAATCGTTCTGTGGCATTTGTAATAGAGAGTCCACATAGTTCAACAGTCTGCACGACATCGAGTCTAATGTCGCAACGTTGAAGTTTATTATGTTTTTAATTAATTTCTTTCTAACGATATTACAATTTTATTTTGTTATTAAATTTTTTAAAAGTTTCTACAAATTGGCAAATAATTCGTTTAAATAATTTTGAACATACAGAATAAAGAGGAAGCAGAGTTATTCTAAACTAAATATCATAAATAAAATTGATGATTTCTAGATCCATGTAATGAAAATTGATCATATAAGAAAGGAGTCTATTTTCAATATTAAATAAGATACAGAATTTTAAATAATAGTCTATGTGAATGAAAAAAAAATTGTAAGAGTAGGGTGCGTGACGAATGGAGTTTCCGAAGCGCTTTAAACACAAAAACATTTTTATCAAATTAAAGTATATATAGAAGCGTAAAAAATTTGGTCTACGACTCAACCTAATTAGTGGACCATATTTGAGATATATTTGAGTATATTTGAGTTGTAGAGACTGCAGTTCTTTTTGGATATAGTTTTTATAAACACCTTGTATATGGATTAATACTGAAAATGCAAGTCGTCGTGTGCTACATAGGATATACATTAGGGTGCCATTAATTTTCGAAAGTCGGAAAATTGCCTGTGGCACCCCTAGATCGGTTCATTTCACTAAAAAAATAATCTGTGTAAAATTTTAGTTCAATTGGATAAGTGGAAATGGTGCCCCAAGAGCCTCAAAGATTGAAAAATAACGATTTTTTCCATAAAATTCATCTTTGATTGCTTATATCTCCGACATATTTAATTTTACATAAAAACTGTCTTCCTAAAAGTTATAGATATATTTAAAGTAAACAATTCACTCATACAAAGTTTTTCTGTATTTCTAATAGTTAATTGAATAAAACAAAAAATAAGTTGAAGTCACCCGATTGCTAGCTTTGAAAGTACTATGAATGTAATTGTCCGCTTCAGCTTTACAAAAAATTTAATATTTCTAAAAAATTTAAAATAAATTTAATATTTTCAAAATTTAATCTTTCTAATAATAAAAAAGTACTAATTCTAGGTTTGTCCGACATAATTTTTATTATTTTAGTTAAAGTTGCTGGAGCAAAGTATCCTTATTACCTTCAGTTATTTTTGCGCGATCTATTGATACTCTCCTGACTTCCTTGTCATCACTATCTATATTCAAATTTGAAACCATCTTTTTCTTTGTCTCAGGTGATATATTTTAATCCAAAAAAGCAAAATGAACAAGCTTTGAGCTTAAATACCAAATACAATTTTTTGATATTGACTGAGAATAGAAAGAAGATTAAAATCTTGAAAATGAGCTTTGACTGATGACAAAGCATTAAACCATACTTCAACATACACTTTAGTAATAAATATACATATATCGCAAAGAGCATTTTCTTCTTCTGTAGATAATTTGAACTCTTTCCTAAATAAAAATATTTTTAATACATGCATGACTTTCACCATCCATCTTGCATGATGTATAGCTCCAGGAGGTCGAAACTTTATGGAACAGTTCGGTTTTTCTTCTAAAAACATTAATGAAAGTTCTAGAAGTTCCTTATAATCATCTCTTGGTTGGTTATCCTTACAAATCTTATAAAGGAAACACACATAATTCGTAACACATCATCCATATTTAACGATTTTTTTACTTTTTCATTTTCTAAGCTGACTGTAAACTTATCAACGTTTATTTTCGGCCAAAACTTCTGAAATCGTTGAAATAGTTCAACATTTCAGACTTGTACACTTTTTAATGTAATCACTTTGAATTAAAATTCACTTCGCATTCCAATGAATAATACAGAAACTCACTTATGTATATAACTATACAAGTATTGGACTTATTTTCTAGAAAATTTAGTAGACAATTCATTCATTGAACTTACCTAAATTTAATAGGGGGAATTCAGCTTGTATTTGCTTTTATTCAATAACTATTAGAAATACAGAAAAATTTTGTATGAGTGAATTGTTTATTTTTAATATATCTATAACTTTTAGGAAGACAGTTTTTATGTAAAATTAAATATGTCGGAGATATAAGCAATCAAAGATGAATTTTATGGAAAAAATCGTTATTTTTCAATCTTTGAGGCTCTTGGGGCACCATTTCCACTTATCCAATTGAACTAAAATTTTACACAGATTATTTTTTTAGTGAAATGAACTGATCTGGGGGGTGCCGTCAACCGATTTTACGAAAAAAAAATTGCCCATATACCTTAATGGCACCCTAATATACATATACACTTACAAGATGTATTTAAATTTTTTTTTCTTAGATGAGAAAATCTTTTTGTAAATTTCTATCGGTTAAGTTACATTATATACAACGAATTTAGTATATATCTGAACCGCAATTATAAGAGTATCCGATAGAAATTTTTATCTATATAAATATTCACATTAACAAAAGTCATTTGAGTCTTTTTAAATTTGGTTAAAAAACATATTTGAATTTGTACGTAAAATAAGTTTTTTATTTGTTTGGTTGCATACTTAAAAAAACACTTATGGCGTTAGACAGCAACGTGGCGCCGTGGCTTAGTTGGTTAAAGCGCCTGTCTAGTAAACAGGAGATCGTGAGTTCGAATCTCGCCGGGGCCTTAAGCTTCAATAAGCTGTTTTTTTTTAATTTTATTTATTTTTAATTATACAAAACATATAAAGATATAATAGATGGGTATTATAAAATAAAAAAAAAATGGATTTGTTAGAGCATAATACATTATGACCAACACCAGCGCCTAGCTGTTTCCCTAAATAGATATTTAAAAATGTTCTGCTTTAATTAATTTATTTAATAATAATTTGAGTTTTGGTCATTTATTGGGCTAATACAAAATTTGGATCAATAACTCCTTAATACAAATTTGTATATTACAAATTTTAAAAATAATACTTAGAATCGTTAGATAATAACATTAATATAGATAAGATAATATACATAACTAGATACAAACTTATCCTCAATGAAATTAAATTTTTAAAAATAAACTGAACTTTAATATGAAATAATATGAAATAATATGAAACGTTTTTCGTAAATTGAAGTAATTTATAATAGTAGTTATATAGTCTATATGTATATATGTAATATAAGTTATAGTCTATATAGTCTATATATATGTAATATTACATTTTATTTATAAATAAGGTATAAAAAATGATATATCCGTTAGTAACTCTTTGAATGAAGTAGGGTATTATAATATTTATTTATTTATTTATTTATTATAATCTGAACCCTTGCATTGGAATAAAATAATTACCTGTAACGATGGATAAGGTTGTAAGATTTGGATAATAACTAAAAATTCGAATGTGGGAATAATACAAAAATTCTAGTTAACTGAAACTAGACTGAAACCTATTTTTACCAATACATTTTTCCATTCAATTTTCACCTTTGTGTTAGTAATCATAGTTGTAGTGCGGAACGCAGTAAAGAAAAATCCAATCTACATATGGTTAAGGAAGTTAGTTGGTAGATAAGTACATTAACATTTGCGTTTTAATATTTTAGTGCTTTAAATATTATTCGACTTGTCGAAGCTTTAAGTATTTTGATATCGGAGTATTTCAGTAGTATTCCTGAAGGAACCACTTGAAAAGTTGAAACACCACATTGTATTCGAAGTTTTTTATTATAAAATTGATTAGTATATTAACCAGATTAGATTAGTTCTGCGTAGCTTTGTGAGCAGCTCGGACATCTACAAAGATTTTCAAACATTTCAAATGTCGGATCCAAACGTTTGTATCTGAATTCGAGTTGAATTAATAGTGGACGTTAAACAGGGAAACAGACAATGACAATGCTAGGAAATGAATAATAATTAGCAAAAAAAGTTCTATTAAGTATCCAAATTTCTGTAGAGATCAAAAACATAGAAATATAAAGATATGCTAAAAAATCTGCAAAAATCAAGGCACAACAATGTCTTCACTACCAGGCATATTAATAGCAATTGTACTAACAACAACCATGGAGTTGCTCTATTACCAGTGCTTAGTCACCTCATAATCGGCCATCGTCTTGTATTTGTATGAAACCAATATAAAATAATATTAAATTTAAAGTAATTTGGAAGAACTTTTTGTGCATTACATGCATACAAAGTCAATCATATATTTTTTAATATTTATTTTTAAAGAAAAAATCATAAAAATAGAGTCTATGCATCAGTTTACTTACTTACTTCTAGCGTTTTCAATTAGTAAATCTAGGGTAATTTTCTTAATCGAGATTCACATTTATTGTAATTTTAATTTTCGATTGGTAAATCGAGATTAAAGTATAAGACTTGAGAGTAATTTATAACAGTCTAGAATAGCAAGATTACCCTGAAATTAACAACTCTTTTATATGACGACTAATAATTTATGATTTGATTTGATATATGTATTTAAAAAAAATATAAATATGTTTTACTACAACTACAAAAATTTTAAATTACTCTAAAAAGATTGGATTAGGCAACAAAATTTATCCGATCGAGAGTAAATCTAGATTGAATCTAGATTGAATCCAATTTACCAATTAAAAACGCCATTACTAAATAAGTGTGGTACAACAAAGAAGAGTAGAAAAAGTGTTGTTGCTGTATGTCTATCCAGTCAGTACCGATAGGCTTTCATCGTATGCATGAACTAGGAACCTTTATCCTATATGGTTTTGCTTAAGCAAAATATGTTTTGTTCGCTATTGGATTGATTGTTCAATAGCGAACTAACAAAATATTAGTGATCATAGATGAAATAATAAGTTCGGTAGTTTTAATGTTTGTACAGATATGTTATCCTAGACATGTACCTCTTCAGAATTCATGCTTTTCATGCTTTTTTACCAGAGGTAAAATACATGTCTTAATATTTCTGTTTTTGAATATTACAAGAGCATCTACATTTTTAGTATATAGTCAAAACTCTCTATAACGAAGTCGTTAGTGCCTGCAAAAAACTTCGTTATACAGAGGTTCAAATATATGAAAAAATAGAAAATATCACTATGGCTTCAACAAAACTTCGTTATATATATTTTCATATAATTGTTTCAGTTAAATACTAAAAACTATTAAATTAATTTTTTTATCCAAAATATGAAAATTAAATAGAAATATAAAAAAAGAAAACTATTTTAATTTAGGCTTTTTTTAATTTTTAAATATACAGTACGTTTTAAACAA